GGAGACCCCAAAGCTTGTAAAAAATAGGGCTGAATAAAGAACCAAGAGTTTGAGTAGTTTATTCAGTGCAGACATTGGCAAGACATTGTGGAATACAACCCCCTGCCCCCCACCCCCATTTAAAGCTACTTAAAAAGGGAATTTAAGCAAATAGTTTTAAAGGATTATAATGAAGTGTCACAAAAATACGAAACACATTTTGTAATTTGAAATCCACTAAGCTCAAAACAAACCCAAATATATTCAAGTCACATGAACACTGAGCCTGGAATTTTGGACCAAATGTTTGAATGTCATATGCTGTTTGAAATAAAATGATATAAGAAAGGGAACAAAGCTGATACAAATGCACATCAAAAAGCTGACTAGCTGTTTCATCAACCCAGGGCGAAAGATTCAGTTTAATGAATATCTGAGCCTGAGCCGTCTTCATAAGTTGCTAATTAAAATGAAGGACTTCCCACCTCAGTGGCGGCTTTTATTAAATCAAGACAATCACATCAACTGTCCATCTCTTTTGCACAGCATTTTCTCTGTAGATCAAACACAAGGCCATTCTCTATAGAAAATGAAAATTCATGTCTTGAGCTCCATTGAGTGTGGTTTGTACTTAATGGTAAAACTACTGCTACTTGTGCAGGCGTTACCTTGTCCTGTCTGTTTACTTTAAACTTGATGAGATTCTCTGTTGCTGCACAGACACCGATAATGAGAACCACTCTTTAAAAATCAAAGAGAGGAGGAGTGTTTGTTGCCACAGTCTGTCAGCGTGAACCACAGTGTTTTATCCGACCTCTCTTGAAAAGCTAACAGCACGAGTTTCCTCAAAACTGCATGAACACAAATAACATAGCAGGTGTTCAATCATCCAACAATATTCTCATGTCCAGTGTACTCAGATCCTAAAAACACTCTAAAGATCCTAAATCAGGATGAAGAAAAAGTGTGCATGTCACAGGCCCTGTAAAAATACTCCTCAAATGAGTGACATTTTGGGATTAAGTTTCTTGGTTTTGTTGCCTAAAGTCACATGCAGTAAGAAGATCAACACCACTCTCACATCTCCCCAGTAAATTCTAGGCTACAGTTAGCAGCTGTTTACCTTAGCATGAGCAGCAGAAACTGGTAGAAACTGCTCCATGTATGCCACATTAGGTAAGAAACCCCACCTGCAACCATCTGCTTGTTATTTGTAAAAGTTCTCCTTCAGTGGCCGCGGCATTGATTTTCCTCTATAATTATTTCTTCAGTGCTCTTATTTTGGCATTCCTATTAAATTTGTACTGTTGACAACAGGGATCATGTGATATTATGAGAAAAGCTTCACCATATAAGTGTTGTTTGCAAAGTAGGATACTATAATGCCATGTTTATTTTAATCACAGGTGTTTGAAGTAAGTAGATTTCATGGACGTACAAGTGTACTGTACTGATGTAGGTGTGCACTGTAGGTGTATTAAGATCATTTATACAAAACTTCAACTCATATCCACTGAAAACTGTAATGTCATAATAAAACTGAACTGCAGCTGATACATTTTGGGAACCAGAGATACTGGTGATTGTGTTGTTAACTAGACAGGACAAATATACAGCCTGACCTATTGTACTGAAAACAGCTGGACTGACAGGTGCTGAGCAGGAACAGTGTCTGACATCTCTAATGCTCCACAGCTGCTGCTGTTGGGAACAGAGGGTTCAAACTGTGGCTGGAGATAAACTGAAAGCACTAGTTAAAATTGACACATGTCTTCCACACATAGCTGACACGTGTCTGTGTGTCTGTGGTTCAGGCAGCAGTTCTCATCTCTCAGGGCCTGCAGAAAAAATCACATTGTGGGATCAAATGATACTTTGTTCAAACATTTCAAACAGATTTTTTTTCCCTTTGAGTTTGTCACAATTCTCCACAAAAAGGACCTTCGTAACTGTTAAGCGATTCACCTGAAGACTTATATTTGTAACAAGCAACAAGCTAGTGGTTATAATAATGTAAAATGTACACTTTGCTCACGAACATTGCATTTTTATTTTGTCTGAATTAAACAAGAATTTTTCACAAGATTATTCTCACATTGTGCATTAACATGCTGAGGCTGTGAAAGGTTCACAAGCCACAAATGTACAGTATGAGAAACCTTGAGCGCTGTTGTGTTAAAGCCCCTCAAAACCTACTTTCTCAATCAGCTTAGCAAAGTTTTCTGTGAAAGTTTAATCTGTTTGGTTGTTTCACATGACTGATATTTTGTTTTGTCTGTACTTTTCTAGCTAGTTTTAAGAGGGTGAGGCTCAGATGGAAAAAGCTGAATTCTAATACTTCTGTGCACCAATCATGATTCAGCAACATCTAAATTACAATCTTAATGTCTTTGCTCATTTTGTCAGGGCACTGCTCTTAGTCAGTTCTGATCAAACCACAGGTATAACTTTGACTTTGATTCTTTCTTATATTAGGCATTACAATATAATGTTATAGAGAAAAGAGAAAGGTTTTAGACTTGATTAACAAAATATATTAAAGTATTTAAATCTGGTATGTACTGTAAGGAGACATACTTTGTCCTTCAGCTGAAGAGAATAATAGCAACAATTAAAGAATATTTTGGGGGCGGATCAAAGACAAACTATGCAAAAACCATGTAACAGCTTGGGGGCATCATTAGAATAATGTGTGATGAACTGGGAAATGTCTTCCTCTTTTCCACACACATCCACTTCCTGTGCTGACATCACCTGTGCCACCATGAACACAAACAAACCCCATCTGGCGAGGTGTGCAGTCCATTAGCATACCATTGTCTCCTGCACCGAGATAGGAAACTTTGTGTCACCAGTACATTGTGTTCTCTTTGTGTCTTCATGCAGCAGGATGAAATGGTCATCTGCATGGAGACGCTCCAGTGGTCAGATAAGTTTTTAAAAGTGTTACAGTGGCATTTCCATTTTGTTTGCTTCTCTCCCGGTATTGTTTCAGTAGTGCAGAATTCAAGCTCATGGATTCACAGCTCTACAAATCAGTGTAACTGTATTTATTTTTAAGCACAGATTCAAAGACCAAAAAGCTAAATGTCACTTGGATTTTATTTTATGTTACATTAACAGAATCTGATTGCTGCACTCAGCCATTATTTGATGAAGACGATGATGAGAGTGTGGCCTTGTGATGGTCTGGTGGATATAGAATATGGAATAGACTGATAAGTGGCTTCATAGCTAACCTATTAATAGCAGTAAGGATAACTGGTTAATGGGTCCAAAGGTTGACGGAGGTGAAAGAGTTTTCCTTAAAAGCATATTACAAAACATGCCTTACACCAAACAGAGTGCAGAGACCTGGGAAAGCTCTTCTCATTATTCGAGTCTAGAGGAGAATACTGTGGTAACAAGCCACATATCTCCTTGTTCTTCCACATTGCCTCTGAAGCTGTTAGTGTACTACAGGAGCAAACCAAGACACTAATGCATCCTCACATATGAGCAATAGACTGCTTTCCAAAGGAGACAGCATGAAAATCATCTCAGCATTAGTTTATTCCAAAAAAGTTTCAAAACAGATGATTTATTTACTTCATAAAGATGGATTTTGTGTGTGCCACATCATAAACGTGCCCTATGGGGACATCTGGTGCTGCTGTACTGGGGGTGTATTTTATTTTCCTCATCAAAATCACCTAGATGCTGGTCAATACTTTTGGGAAACAAAATCAATTCAGCTCTTTGTTACTACTGATTAAACATCATATAGAGAGCATGTTATTTTTCACTAGCCTATAATAGTTCCTATATCTTCACTTTATTGTACTCATTCTTCTTATTTAAATGACTCAAAAATGTCAAATATGTGGTATAAAATGACACAGGAATGGATGGGATATTCAGTGCTATGTAAACATTTTATTAAGGTTTAAATTACAGGACACCATCTGGAATTCTTTGTGCTCTTTAACTTGTTTATGACAAAGTGAGTTGTACCGGTTAAATAGTGTCCTGGGATTTTGAGCTACTGGGAGGATGGTGCTGCATTGTTTTCTATGCCTAAAAGAGACCTCATCTAGAAGTACCAAATGTCCATGTTTGGGTGGTCCCAAATAGTTGTTTTATATCAATTCTATTCTTAAAACAAACTACATACAAATTAAAACTAAAAACACTAGAAGTTTGACTCTTCGCTTTCTCTTGTCATTTCTCGTCCTTTACATTCCCTCCCAGTGTGCATGAGTCACTGTTTTATTGTTCACTTGTGCAATTCAAGTCTTTGCTTTACTTGCAATTTTTCAGAGAAAGTGTGTGACTGGCCCTGTTTGAAAAGCATTTAATACGAGATCGCACATTCTTAAATTGGATCAAACCATTTCCGCTCCCTAACACGAGCTGCCGCATGACAGCAGTGCACTGAACTGATGGCAGGCCATTGCAGACTGTGCAGTGGTCTGACTGAATTTACCTGCTGTCAGTAATGCCTGTAATGAGTAAAGAAATATTGTGATTATAAGTTTTGCTAGTATTTTTACATCATGTACATTTAATTTAAAGCTATATTTGTGTTTTTTTGACAATTAGGGGCAGCACAAAAAGCTGTAGCTGAAATAAAATACTTAATACCTCCCAACATGTCATTTCCATTGCAGGCCAGATGGAGGTGGTGTTGTCTCATTCTCATATTCTCATATTCTCATACTTCTCATGTCTTCTGTGCACTGTAGGCTATGTGTCTGTGTGGTTACATTCCCAGTATGAATGTATACAGAACCATCTCCATGCCCACAGTATTTATATCTCCCTGTCCTTCCTACTCTCCCACAGCAGGGTAAAATGATCTTCACTTGAAAGACCATCTGCAAATGCCACCCAGGCCATCGTAATGTTCCCAATATAACCTCGGTGCACAACAGCCAGCTGAGGGGTTTGGTCAGTGGCCTTAGTCTGAGCTGCTGAGAAGTGACAGGCATCCACTCTGCGCTCTCTGGGTTGTGTTTTCTTCACATGTTTGGATAGACAGCATGATGAAAGGGGAAGATTCCGAGGAAGTAGAGATTGACTTGGGGGACCCTGATGATAATGGGGAGGAACCTCAGACATTGTGGAAAGTGCCTGTTCCTCTGGACGAAGAGGAGAACATTCATACAACTTCGCAAGTGGAAATCAGTGATACCAAGCCTCTGATTAATGCCAGAGACCCCCGAGGTATCAATGACTGCCTCAAGGTATTGTATTCTTATGTCGCAGCTCTATTAAACTTATTTTATGGACCATTTGTGCATTTATCGCATGCTGAAGTAGCTGGAAAAGACAACACACTAAATTACACATGGAACAAGGAAGCTGGTTGTGTTGCCCTCTTGTGGACATAATTTGTCAAAAGTAAATCAAGTCCAGCAGGATCATGATGGAATGAACACTAATAAATCAGCATCACTTTTCTCTTTGTGTTTCCAGGTGGCGTTTGAGGATGTGATTGCTGAGCCAGTGTCTGTGCGCAGTGGAGACAGAGTGTGGATCTGGAGCAACGCCCTCTTTGAGGTGTCGAGGATTTGGATCTACAGGATAGTCACAGTGCTTCTGGCCATTCCCATGTCAGTTATTTCTGGTCTCCTCTTTGCCACCCTCAGCTGCCTCCACATCTGGTAGGTTTACATCATGCTGCCTTGCATATTTCCTCACCTACTTTCAGTGGTAATTTATGCAGCCCAAAAGCCTTAAATATTAAATAAAGCAGACATTATGAAAGAAACAATCATATGATTAAATGTATTATAAATAAATAAGTAGACCAATATGCCGTGAAATAATTCATCAGTATGAAATGTTATTCTTTTTTTCTACTGTGGAAAAAATATTTAATGCCTTTTTCCTAATTACACTTTTATTTCAGCATATAATTTTTTAGTTTTCATAACAGCACTGACCACACCCTGACCTTTCATTTAAATAAAAGCAAAGAGACCATTTTACTTGTTATTAAACATAACCACAAAGACGCTGATCCAGCTTTGTTATGGAAAATGCACCAGTAATCAATATTTTTGAAGACTGATGCAGACTGGAGGCAAAAAGTCTGCACTGATTTTGACCACTCTTCTTTCAGTCTCTCTCATGAGCTCCCCAACTTTAAGAAAGTGCAGTAATAAATCACTAGAGTGCGTCTTTAGGTGGTCTTCAGGTGATAAAGAGGAACTGAGGGAAACACAATAATAACAGCAGGGCACATCAGTGTGAGAGATGGGATTAAAAAACATTACACTTAGGAAGAATTACTTGAAAAGCTATATTAAAGCAACAGCCTCTGCGGTGTACTTACAGTAGCTAGGTGTGTGTTACTGAATCAGTAAAGTTGAGGGAAGCAGTAGTTTTAAAAATGTGTGAAACTGCAATGTTAACTGAACCATTAACATTCTGCTTTTATTATATTAAGAAATATACTGAAATGAAAGACATTTTGAATAGGAGAGTGTTTTGTGTTGAGGATAAAGAGAAACTGTGAAACAGCTACAAAGGACCAAGAAGGCTCAACAGATTATCAGGGAACACTGGAAAGTAACTAGCCAAAAGAAAAAAAAAAGGTATAGGAACATGAACATTACATTGTGACTGAGAAAGGTCATTTTCTTCATAATGTTTGAGTGTTTTGCCATGACAGGATGGTTAGTCCTGGTATCAAGTATATCCTTATTGGCACCTGCTGGCTGCAGAACTTATGGGACATTTTACTGGATGTCATTGTGCGTCCCTTCTTCACAAGCACTGGCAGATGCTGTGGAAGCTTCAGCATTCACCTGGCCAAAGAATGAGACACTACACATGACAAGAACATCCACACTGGGCTTGTTAGTTAAGCACACCATGTTCTTGTGGACTCACTTCTAGTGGGCATTGATATTTGATTATGAAATGTTTATTAATACAGGTTTTCTATGGATAACACAGCTTTGTTCAAGCATCTGCTGAAACAAAACTGGGATCAGTACAATTAACAAAATAAGTCTACTTCTGTCACACTGGCAGTCTGCAGTTTTTTTTTTTTTTTTTGTCCCCCGTGCGTTTTGGTGTTTTTTTTTTTTTTTTTTTTTTTTTTACATATATCATAATGGGATAAGAGCTTTTTAGAGTTTGAAGAAAATTCAGCAGAATTTGTTGTGTTTTATAATTGTTATGTCATGTTTGGGCTTGGTCTTTAAACAGCATTTTAGAGTTTAATCTCAAAGAGCAAAATTATAAAAATACTAAGAACTGATCTTAATATTAGAAGTTACGGACATAAGAATATTTAGTTTGTTGGAGGAGAAGGATCATGTTAGAAGTGCTCTCCTGGGAAGAAAACTGCAATAAAATACATGGATTAACATTTTTTCCTGTTTGACATTAGAATAGTTCTAAACAGAAACACAAACTGTATGTTTAACAACTTGACTTTAGGTTTATGTGGGCAACATGTGAATATAGCTTTTTCTGTCACTTTTTGGATGTGAATGGAAATGAACAAAACATCTGATATCATCTTATTGTAGATCTTCCCCTTTTTACAATAAAATATGTCACAAAAATGAAGTGCATGTAGATTTAATTGTGTATAGCCACCCCACATGTGCAGCGAGAGAAATTAACCAGAGTGGCCACAAGATGGAGCCAAACTTTTAGTTTGATGTGCTCAGTGTGCTAGAAAATAAGAGAGTTAAAGATGTTGAGGTGTAGACAAACACCAGAGGCATTGGAAACTAATTGGAAGGTGAACTTTATAATACATCACACATCTGTAGTGTAAGAAAGACTGCAGAAAATACTGAAAAGATCTTTTTGATGTAAAATTCATTCATGCAGATTTTCCTGATACATTTTTTGTTGTGTTGTTACAGTTGAAACTAAGTGCATGAAAACAAACCTTAAGGTTGCATATTTTCATAATAACCTTAATATCATTCAAGCATAATGATTTAGTGTAACTGCTCATACAATTACTATAACTATAAAATGCTTGCACACAAATTGGTGAACAGTCAGTAACTGGAAAAAGTGTCCATTTGTATAAAGTGATATTGTGTTTGTAATCTGCCAAACTCCCACCTGTATGTTAAAATGCATTTAAGAGTAATTTTGTTTTGTTAGAGATAGTCTACTTCTGTCATATAATATGATCACTGTGATAATTACTTGTTTCTGAGGCCAAGTCAGGACAACAACTGTTTGAACAAGGACAGAAGTGTACAACCTTGAAAATGCTCATGGCTGCTTCTACAGAAAGTCTTGAAGGGTTAAAGCCTAGAACACAAGAGAGATATACTGCATTATGTGTAGGATCTCAGTACAGATGGAGTTCATAGTGAAAGTGATGTTTTGGGAAAGCTGAGGACACACATCCTTAGAGATTTACATGGATGCCAGATGCACATCAAAGGTTCACTTTACACGACATTTTGGACACAGTCACATTTTGTTTTGCTCTTTGTGCAGGGTATTCTCTGGACAGGGGGTTTACACTGTTTAGCTCCAACAAACATGTTGCAACAGGCCTGAAAGGGGGAACTTGCATGATCACCAGATTACTTGACTACAGGAAACTTGGTTGCCTTTCAGCTGGCTCTTAGTGTCCTGGGCACCCTGCGCTGCATGTGTATGTGAGGCTACGCGGACTGCTGGTGTTCTTGATGACACAAGTGGACGGGTTGCTTTTCTGCTTGCACCGTTGATCAAAGCTACAGGAAGAGTCTGTCAGGTACCGTCTACAGCAGCAGAAGCACTGCATCAGGTCGTGGAACATGTGACCAGCGAAAGACAGGTAGATCCAAGGGTTACAGCAGCTGTTGAGACTGGCCAGCAACATGGCGATGATGAAGGCCGTGTCTAGGGAGAGATACAGAGACGAACATATGGTTTGTGTCAGTGCCTGTATTCTGAGAGCATAAACAAAAGAAACTACACAACTACGTAGCTGAGATGACAAATTTTAGTTATTCCAGTTTGGAAAAAGCGAGCATCTTTAGGAATAAGTAAATGAACCACAGTGTTGCTCTAGGTGACATGTTTCTTCATCACAATGTACACCGTAGTTTATTTAAGTCAGTAACACAAAATCTGTCCTACTGCTGAAATTTTCAGTGGAAAACAGCCGGAAACAAATATATAATTTACTCCTGGTTAAGTAACATTTGCTTAAAAGCTTAGAAAAATAGAGCCAAACATTTGTGAACCATTTAAAATTGTTTTGTTTGTAGCAGGAATCAATGGGCTCAGAAATCAGAACCACAGACAGAACAGGAAATCTGGAAAGAACTCTAAACAAACACGTTGCTGGTTCAGGTCTTTTCACCGGATTCACTGACAATCATTAAAATATAGAATATTCCCAACCATATTATCTAAAACCAAGCCCAGTGAGTGACCTACAACCTGTCAAAGGTGTACACTGCCTCTCACCAAGTGCATGCTGGGATAAACTCTAGCCCCTTGCTACTCAGAACATAAATATTAGTTTAGAGAATGAATGAATGGGTGGATGTATACAGCTCCACTAAAGAAGTTCCAGTAAGTTGTAATCACCTGGTGGGTAAAAATCCAAAGTCAGTTTTATAGAGCCATTAGTTTAGCACAATAACAGGCAACAGCCCTGAACGTCGCAGCAGAGTCTTGTTTAATCATTTTCATTCTTGTATTAACTGTTCTGAAGTGAATACTGACTCAACAATTCAAGATAAGATGTCACAAGCCATGCACAGTGGCTCTGAGGACTTTTTCTGAATTGAGAACAGTTTAAATGACACTCCCATTTGTCTGTGTATGCTCTGGGGAAGTCTGAGGTTAAACACCACTGTGTAGCCTGGAAGTGAAGCAAATTGCTTATGCATTCCCCCAAGATACTGTGAGGTGGATAAATGACCTCTGTATGTACGAGACAACTGGAAGACTGTTGTAGAATAACAGATTTGTGTTTTATACCACAGGGTTCCCCAGTTTATATTTTGGACACATGGGGCCTGTGCTTCTTCTGGCACACTGTAACAGACGTTTGAGAGCTTCGTAAACTAATGAATATTGTCAGTAATGAAAACTGTAATTGAACAATGTAAATCACTACTAATAAATGTTTATAATTCAGATTGAATTTATTGTGCATTAGTAAAGAAATAAAAACACTGGGTGTGCGTTTACCTTCTCTTGGTGCAGCAGGATCCCATGCGGACCACATCTGGACAAAGAAAAAGGGAGTCCAGCATACAGTATAGGCAAGGACCACTACAAATGTCATTTTCACTGTGCGCATCTTTGCTTTTGAAATGAGCCCCACGCTGCTCACGCGAGAAAGGGGATGAGCACCTTTGGCGACCCTGGGAGTGAAAGCCAGGAATGGCTTCCTTCTGGTTTTTAAATCAAAATTCTGCCATATTTTAAAACATATTAAACCATAGCAGGTGCTTAAAATCGCCACTGGGAGCAAGTAAATGGTGAGAGTCATCCATGTGATGTATGCTTTTGCACCCCATGGCTGTACAAAGTCTCCCCAGCAGTCATACACACCGTTCCCGACCTCCTTCAGCGAAAATATATATAATTGAGGAGTACTAAATATCAGGCTAAGCAACCACGAGGTGATCACACAGAAGCGATCCTTTCTCTTGTGCAAGGAGCGGAGTGGCTGCCAAATTGCTAAGCATCTGTCGACGGACATCAGGACAAGCATGTAAGTAGATGCAAACATACCCACGACCTGAAGGTATTTGACCAATCTGCACAGCAAATCCGGCCCGTAGAAGCGGAATGTGATATCCCAAATGAGTTGTGGTAAAACCTGAAAGATTGCAACGACAAGGTCTGCGATGCTCAGGTGTTTCATAAAATAATACATCCGAGACTGGCTGTGCTTGGTGGTGTTAATAGCCCACAGGACGCACAGGTTGCCAGTCAAAGCGAGCAGCAGCACCAGGACCAGGACGGTAATTTCCACTTTGGCCACTTCTTCATTTCGTTTCAAGGGATTCACTGTGGTGTTTCCTAAATGGCTGTCATTTCCCCTACTTGAATTGTTCCATGAAATATTCTGCGCCCAGTTATCCTGCTCGCGTAAAATGTCCTCCATCGTGCGTAAAAGCACCACTTGGCGCAGCCGGCAATCACATTGCAAACCCAATTTCTGGAGCGCAAACCAGCGAGATGCGGTAATTGCCCTGTGCCATTTACTCCCAGCTCACTTTTTTAAATCGTTCTGTCGTTTCGTTGAAAATTACTGTGTCATCCAAAGGCCGTGTCTGTAAAGAAACTAATGTCCATCACTTTTTTTAACACGGTAAATCTGAATCAATCAAGATTTTAAATGATTAAAATTTGACAAAAGAGGTTATATTACCGCATGACCATATCAAGTGATTTTTTTAAACGGAGTTTATCTTTAAAACGATCATTTGCGCATTTAGTTTGGGATCTCGGAGCATAGCAGTCCCCACCACCAGTTGCGTCCAGTGCGATGTCCGGTTTGCTGGAGCGCTGTATCTTACTACTGTCAGTAACTCCCTCCCCTCATCTTATTTTCCTCTAAAAGGAAACTATCTGCCTCGAATATAAGGAGACTGCAATTCTCTCTCTCCCCTGTACATTGAGTGTAGATTCCATGTGCTGTTGGCAGTCACCAGATCTCAATATCTCAGCATCTAGCTCTCCAATATCATCATCAAAACACCAAATGAGGGAATATATTTTGAAAAAAAAAGGTGTCCATCCCCCCAGTAGAGTTCAGAGACGTGGGGAGTCGATGCCAAAGAGAACTAAATCTGTTCTGGTGTCACGTGGTGGCCCAACACTTCACTAAGACACTTTATTTTGGCCTCTCCTTTCATTTGTCACTGATCTGTACATGAAGTAATTCCACTCTGATCATACAAAGAGGTTAGTGTTTTCCAAAGAAAGCCACCAAATATGAAAAAAAGCTATTTAAACTATTACATGCTTTGGCTGAATGTAATTACATCTAAGCCTGTGGTGCTGGTGCTGTAACTCGGTACTTCATACAGGCTCAGTCAGAAATAATTACAAGTCTAAACACTGTGAAATCTAAATATTATTTTTTACTGTGCATGTGCCATGACAGCAAGTTATTAAATCCAGTTGCACATCCATCTATTTTCTTCTGCTTATCTGAGATCAGGTTGCAGTGGCAGCAGGTTCAGTAAAGTAGCCCAGCCCTCCTTCTCCCCTGCAACGTTTTCCAGCTCCTCTGGTGGGATTCCTCCATGACTGCCTTGAGATCCTGTCCATGAAAATCACAAACAGGATCAGTGACAAGGGACAGCCTAAACTGTAAGAAACACAATTGTAATGCAACTTACAAGTACAACTGGTTTTGTGCCTTTTTCGTTGAGTCTATGCACAGTGTGTATACAAATCTCTAAGATTAATAATTTAAAATTTCAAAAAAATTAAAGTTGCCACAAACTTGAGATATTGTGAAAAGGCCCAAAATCTACTTTTTAAATTGGTTTCTTCATAATGTTATGTAACATAAAGTTATGTTATAACCGTATCATATATAATAAAACAAACACTTCAGAGGATTTTGATGATACACAACTGAGACAAACCATTTGATAATAAGCAGTCCCAATCCCAACATGGAACCATGTAGTTGGAAATTAAGTTGCCAACTCTTATTAAACTCTATTTAGAAATTTGTTAAAATATTATTTCTGGTATTCTCTGCATGAGACAAAGTGTTTACTGCTGCACAAAAGGAAAATGTCATTTTTAGTTTTGTTTTCAATAAAACTGCCAATTCCAATTACAGAAATGTGGCTTTACACAAATACTTTGTCATAAAACAGACTGTCTCAATAAAGGTTTCTCAGTATTCAACCTGACAATAAAACAGATGGAGAAGATCAAGTGTTACAACCCTGACCACACGCAAACTCTGACACTGATTCAAAATTGGCATCAATATTCATCATGTTTTCATCAGAATATTTAAAAACCAAGTTGGGCTTGGCGTGTTAGATTCAAGTGTGGAGACACCCAGCTGTGGTTATGTCTGAGCATATGGGGGTCAGTTCAATACAAGGATAATAAAGCAATGTGTCTACAGCTGCCCTGTGGTTTCCGTGCACTTACACAGGTATGAAGCAGCAGCCACTCTCTTGTTGCTAACCTGCAGCATGTGCGTGATAAGAAACAAATCTCATGCAGATCATCATCAGTTTAGCGTGACTAACACACTGTTTCTATGACTGCCAACCTTAACAAACACTGTTTTGAACAGGCAGTCCAAACAGACAAGCATATTGTGAGTATGACATGTTTTAAGACTGTTTAACATGTGCTGACTTTTTGTCTCTTTATTTTAATTAACATGCCAGTAAATGAGAACTGATTTGGCAATCTGGTGATCATGGCAAGGCTCTTTATAAAAATACAAATCTCAGACGTCCATTTATAATAATGCATATACATATAGCGGGGGGGGGAGACATTTTGTTCAGAAACAAGTAAAACTACTTTATCTGTTTTTAGTAAAAAAAACAAAAAAACAGAGTGGATTCAGTTTGTCACATTGTTTTAATCAAGAAGACCAAAGGAAACAGTCAGTGTTGTGCAACACAAGAATACTGAACTCAATCATATGTTTGCACATTGCAAGAAATGGGGGGGCACCGTGGTGCGGTGTCACTGTCACCTCACAGCAAGAAGGTTCTGGCGTTACATACTGATCGGGGCCTTTTGGTGATGACTTTGCATGTTGGTTTTCTGTCTCTAAGTGTCAGCCCTGTGATAGACTAGTGACCTGTCCAGGATGTACCCTGCCTCTCGCCCCAGTGTCAGCTGGGACAGGTTCCAGCCCCCATGACCCTTTACAGGATAAGTGAATAATGGATGAATGGAGGAAATCTGTGCATGCACCACTTACATGTGCATGCAACTGTCTAACCATTTTATTGCTGAGTATACAACATTACTAATGTAAACATGAATTAAAGATCATAAGATGTTAAATACTTTAATTAGACTGCTGCCTCTCCTGCACTATGACATGTAAAAATACCACAGTATCAAAAAGCCTTTTAAATCTTTCATATAAGGAGTGTTGGCTCAGCCCCATCTTAAGGTTCATGTTGTCCAGTATCTTGTTGAAGTCCAGTGGTTATAAAAAGGTTTGTCTGCCAGTAATCTTGAATAATGTCCTAACTGTCCCTTTGCACCATGCGTTTCTATGAAACTGACTTGTGAGAGCCAAAGATTTGACAAGACCCAGTGTGACTTAAATAATGATCCTTGTTATTACACTGATGACATTTTAGTTGGGCAAAAGATAACACTGTCTGTACTTAGGAATGATTTTGTTTATATTAGATTTAAGGAAGTGTTTTGTTACAAAGTCAACTAGTGTACCCCAGCATGTGAACACAGCTTAAAGTTAGAGAAAAAAAGCCAGTTCTTACAGATGGTCTATACAGACCAACACTTAGACAAATGAATTCTCACAGCTTCTGCAACATCTACAGCTCAGTTCAGTTAATGGAAAATCAATCCCATGCATCCAAGAGGGTCTGCATGCAGCCACTACCTTTTGGTGATGTGCCTTTGGTACAGTGAATGTTCCTCGTCTGTGAGCTCATGATCCTGTGGTATAAATCAGAGGCACAGTGATTCCTTTACCAGATAAATTTCCATTGGAAAGGGATTTTGTATCAGACCTCCAAGATTTTGCTTAAACTTTTGGAAAGTTTACAAAAAAACTGCAGAATATGATTTCCTGTGCTGTCTAACCTCAACCTCAGACGCACAAAACTCACATCCCTTTGTGTATTCCAGGTCAATTTGGCTCGACATAGGATTATACTCCCACTGAGTAAATTCATTTCAAGTTTGACTTGTCAAAGTGAGATGGAGGGAGACTGAATAGCCCACAGCCTGATTTGATGATCTCACATAAAGCACAAACATTTAATAAGGCCAAAATAATGTGTTCTTAGTCATGCAACAAAAAACCTGTGCTAATGTTTTTGCTACTGTGGCTGTTATGGGGACATATGATTGACACAGTCTCTATTTTAACAAAATATTTATGCTTACTTTCTCAATAAACAGAGGCCTGTTGTGTGTGGCCTCTGTGGTAATTTGGACATGATGACATCATACAGAGAGGATCAAGTACAGTAGAATGGGCCACAGACAGACAGGGACCTCTAGGATGCACAGAAAGGAAAAAGAAATGTGAATTGAAATGAAACCGATGCAAATTGTCATGTCCTCCATGGAATCTAGTACTAAACTCTAAAAATGGATAAATTGCACTTCTGCAAAAGTTAAATTATACTTTAGCAGGACCCTCAGGGGAAAGTCTCTGCATTTGACAGTTATAGCTCTTTGGGGGCTGTGAGCAGTGACAGTGCAGAACCAACTGGTTTTACAAATGCTGAAAATTGTCTGCAGTAATGTAAATCTTTGCTCCAGGCCCGTATAATCAGCTGCCATTCACTGGCACAAGAGACACGCAGTACAACAAAATTACTTGTATTATAATAGATATTGATATGTAGCTGTATATTATGAGGTCAAAATAAGAACAGGGGAAAAGTGAAAAATAACCAGGCCGTATGCCCTTTAAATCACACCAGAAGAGGCTGAGCCATTTGTTCTAGGTGCTGTGCTGTCCTTTTTGAAATGTGGGATTGTCCTTTTATACAGCCAGTGCAGGAGGGTTTTAGAGTGCACAGAGCACAACCGTGGCCAGCACTCACCAAGAACCTCAATGTGCTTCTAATGTGATAAATCTCCAACCAAAACTGACTCAGAAATGAAATTTTGAAAGAATGCTGACTCTTTCATGGAATGACTAGTTTTATTAGCAACAGCAGTCTCTCATTATATAATGGCTATGCTTTTATAATTCCTCTGGAAAAACTGGGGGGAAAGCAACTAAAAGACCAAATGAAATAATGTTCATATTATTGGATGAACACATTTGTGTGAGCTAGTTAAATTCATTTACATTGTTCCATTATAATTGGAAAAAAAAAACATCTTCGTTTATATGTTGTACCTATATTACATACTCAAGTTTTTTTGTCCACTGGTAAAACATGTAAAACAAATTTTAACAAGAAAAAGGCACTGGCTGATTCTGTTTTACTGATCAGGTTACATTTCATGACATTTGTTTGTGTTGAAGTGAAGAAGCAGAATTGTACCATCTGTCTATCAAAAGGAAATCAGATTTCTGAAGTACAACAAAATCTCTCATCTCACTTCACCGTGAGCTCACTCTGTTACGAAACAATTCAAACTTGATTTGTTTAGTTTAACTGTAGCACACTTATCACATTGAGCCGTTTACATCCCTGAAACTCTTTGGCTCACTTTTTGCTCACATTGGTTTTAGTCACTGTACCAATGAAAGAAGATATTGTGCTTACAGATTGCACTGAGAACATGTAAAATGAAAACAAGATGGGGGACTATTTTTGAATTCTTAACATATTACAGTTTTATATCTTTATGTTTGAAGCCTGAAATGTGGCAAAAGGTCGCAAAGTTCAAGGGGGCCGAATACTTTCGCAAGGCACTGTAGCTGTATATTATGAGGTCAAAATAAGAACAGGGGAAAAGTGAAAAATAACCAGGCCGTATGCCCTTTAAATCACACCAGAAGAGGCTGAGCCATTTGTTCTAGGTGCTGTGCTGTCCTTTTTGAAATGTGGGATTGTCCTTTTATACAGCCAGTGCAGGAGGGTTTTAGAGTGCACAGAGCACAACCGTGGCCAGCACTCACCAAGAACCTCAATGTGCTTCTAATGTGATAAATCTCCAACCAAAACTGACTCAGAAATGAAATTTTGAAAGAATGCTGACTCTTTCATGGAATGACTAGTTTTATTAGCAACAGCAGTCTCTCATTATATAATGGCTATGCTTTTATAATTCCTCTGGAAAAACTGGGGGGAAAGCAACTAAAAGACCAAATGAAATAATGTTCATATTATTGGATGAACACATTTGTGTGAGCTAGTTAAATTCATTTACATTGTTCCATTATAATTGGGAAAAAAAAAACATCTTCGTTTATATGTTGTACCTATATTACATACTCAAGTTTTTTTGTCCACTGGTAAAACATGTAAAACAAATTTTAACAAGAAAAAGGCACTGGCTGATTCTGTTTTACTGATCAGGTTACATTTCATGACATTTGTTTGTGTTGAAGTGAAGAAGCAGAATTGTACCATCTGTCTATCAAAAGGAAATCAGATTTCTGAAGTACAACAAAATCTCTCATCTCACTTCACCGTGAGCTCACTCTGTTACGAAACAATTCAAACTTGATTTGTTTAGTTTAACTGTAGCACACTTATCACATTGAGCCGTTTACATCCCTGAAACTCTTTGGCTCACTTTTTGCTCACATTGGTTTTAGTCACTGTACCAATGAAAGAAGATATTGTGCTTACAGATTGCACTGAGAACATGTAAAATGAAAACAAGATGGGGGACTATTTTTGAATTCTTAACATAAATCCACAAGCAGCGAGTGTTAAACAAAAAGGGGGATTTCTTTTGCAACTGGGCCTTATCTAAGTGCTATGAACTGAGCTCACCTTTGACCAAACACTGGAATAAATTTTTATCTGGAACAGAAACGTGAACTTTGCCATTTTTGGGTCTGAGCAGTGGACTGAGTATCAAGCTAACAGTGGTGTAAAGGGGAAAAGGATTACACCAACCAAGAAACCTCCTGAGGACACATGGACAGTGAAAATAAAGTTATAAAGTCCTAACAAACATTTGAAAAAAGTGAAGACATTTCTTTCAACTTCATATATATTACGAGTCATGTGAAGGCCTCAGCCCCGGCTACCCCCCCATGTAAGGGCCTAAACCACCACCAGCAGTGGAATTAGCTAGGTAATGTTCTTTTATTTTCTTTGTTCATGTGTGTAGATTTAAGTGGTAGGCAGATTTTAAGCATTTGATTTGACATCAGGTTTAGACAGACACAATCAACAAAATATACACATTTGGTTAATTTTGTATTGTTAACGTGTGTAAATTTTCTTTTTCTATTACCTGTTCCTGGTTCATGGATGGGGGTGGCTCTGACAAAAAGTTTAGGCTGCGGCAGCAGGAGCCTGCGGCAGCAGCAGGTTTAAATACCTCCCACTAGGCCTGGACTGTACCAAGTGCCCAGTACAAGAAAGAGGGGGAGTTTGGGAGAAATACTGTATGTTTAATTGTTTGTAGTTTGTTAAAACTTTGTCAAATTATGTTATTTTTTTACATCGAAAGACAAATGGTTGTTAGCAGACTGTCTGTTCAGATGTTCCCCATTTGTGTTTTTGTGTACTGTGTAGTTCATTTTGCTGTATTTTGAGTTTCCTTATCCTTTGTTGACCTGTTTTTGGGCCCATTTTGTTTGATATTGATGTGGTGTGTATTTTATTTTCCTTATTTTTGGGTAAAAAGAAATTTAAATCCTGTGTCCTCTGCCTTATTGTTCGGTACCTGACAAGTCATCATGAGTGAGCAGCTGAAAAATGTCATTATGCCATTACGGGGGGTGACTGTGGTTCAGTGAGTAGAGCAGTCATTTCCTAACCGGAGGTTCGAATCTCGGTGCCTGCAGTCCACATGTCAAAGTGTCCTTGGGCAAAACACTGAACCCCCAAGTTGCCCCCGATGGTTAGAGCCATCGGTTGTGTTGGTGCCGCAGATGGCTGCCTCAGTTCTGTACCAGAAACAAATTCCTTCTGTGTAACATACTTGGCCAAGAAAGGTGATTATCCATATGTGCAGCATGGAGTGCGTGAAATCCTGCCTTTCTTCAAGCATTTCCATGAAGTCTAATTAGTTCAAATTAGACTGGATTAAGAAGGAGAGTGACGACATCTCCACTGACTTTTTTTTTTTTTTTTTGCAGTAATGGTGCATCATGGAAACGTCAAATAGTTCCAAACATTAAGAGCAGCAAGATAGAGTTACACTGACTTGGCTGCTATTGTCTCATTTCAACCTCATTTTAGCTTCTGATTTGTCTGATATGTTTCTTCTAAAACTTACTAGGAGAAATTGGTGAGACCGGACAACTACTGTAGCCACAGGAGTCATTCTTGAGACATAAGGGAGATACCTTGCTAAACTTAACTCATTGTTAATAATGGATCTTTTTTTCTCCTTTGGAGGAGAAAAGGAGTGATGCTAAAGAAACCATGGAGTGATATACAGTACATGCACCAAGAAGTGTACTGTATGCAGAGTACACTGCATTAGTATCTAGCCCTTCATTCCTAAGTGCTGTTTTTACCCATGAGACTGTCTGATGCCACTGCCCACTGTGGCTGTCCACAGGAAGAGCAGAGGCTAGGAAAACAAACAACCCCCTGATGCAGACAGATGATATCCATGAAATTGATACTGGGGAAAATCTCAATCTGTGCTGCTCCTGGCCCTTTACATAATAGACCCACCGGACCTTGTACTTGAAGAACAGAGATTCCAGTTCAAATGCTCAACAGATGGAGGTGAGTGAGTTGTCATGCAGTGTGAGAGGATCCCAGTTTCAAAGTCTGTGAAAACATGCAAACAGCAAAGATTTGTTCATGGGTGTGAAACGGAAAGTGATTTCTACAGTAGATAAAAGTGTGAGCAGATCAAAAAGGAAGTTTCATGTAAATTAAGGTTGATCTTTACTCACATTTGAACAGTAATGCATGAACTATCTTAGCACCTTACTGAAAGCAAGTGATCCCTTTCATGTCATGTCATCCTATGTTAATACAGACACACTGATTAGTGCAGCTTTACTATTTGAGTACTGGTAGCTACTGAATTTCTGTATTGTAACATCAATTAATCACTTTCTCCATAATGAGTGGTCATGAGATCAGTTTCTCAAGCTCAACACAATCTTCAGTTGAAAAATGGCTTGAAATTAGTTCTAATTTGACTTTTACTCATGCAAATCTAGCCCTCTCACCTCAGGGATCCAGATAACCTGCATTTAATCCTAAATGCATTAGTTCCACCAGTGATGTATCCTAAGACTCACTAAATGAGATTTTAATCACTGTGACTTACTAGGAGTATTTTGGCACTTTGCCGTCCACCTCCAGTCACTAGATTTTACAAGTAACTGACTTTCTTCTGTGCTACTCTCTTCATGGACCAAAGTCACGGACCCCAGTCTTCTGAGGAATTTAGCTATGTGGGCCCCTGCGTACATGTCCTGACAGTTACCTCAACACCTTTCTGTTCCTACTGGTAACATCTTGCAGAGCCAGGGAGCAGATGGAAGAGGTTGACTCACCCCTTCATATTCTGTTTATTGAAAACAGAATCCAGGATGTTGGTGCCTCTCACACTGCAAAAGGCAGAGACACGGTAGGGCTCATTCCAATTTGCACAATCTTTTAGCTCTTTGTTTTGGTTCTCAGAACTGCAGCGTTACTGTTTTGGTTTGGTCTCATCATCAGTTATTCTTAAAACAGCAGCAGATTTAGGTGACAAAGCTTTGATAATCTCATTGTGCACTGCCTACACAGTACCAAATATCCAACAAAGTTAGCAGTCAGCTGTTGAACACTGAAACATTTAGCAGCTAGATCAGTAGTTGATCGACAGCAAACCAGAGCTAAAGGGAGTACCAAAAAAAAAAAAAACACTCTTGCCAGTTTTTTCCATTGAAAATACTGTATAATAATATCTGCTCATTCACATTAACTACACTCTCAGGTGAGGCACTGTTGCAGCCATTCCAGCTTTCATGTAGAAACTGTGGTAATGTTGTTTATTACCCATTATGGCAGAGGTATAAATTAGGTTTAAAAATAAAAGGCCCCGGTGCATAAAAACTATTTACCAGAACTTGTATGTTTTAGCCTCACTACTCTAAACCGCTTTACAGAGCATGCACTAATATTTGAAGAGGTGCCACAATAACAATGTCACGATTCTTTATTTACTTACATGTGTATTAGAATATTTATATCCTAATACCCTGGGATCTATGGATTCCACAACAATGACAACAACCTTACATTAGCCACAGCTCTGGTGGCCTTACCAATCATATCACAGTAGTAATGAAAAGGCCTTTTGAACTAGGAAGTCACAGCCGTAAATGCTGGGTGTTAGGCCATGGGTGGTCTGTTCCCTCTTGGCAGCCATTTGGTCCCCGGACAAGGTCATAATCTCATTATTGAGAATAAAGTGGATTGTAAACACACCTAAGTGAATTACGCCTAACTCTGAGTGCTGGCTATGGGAAAAAATAAAAGATCTGAATTACTGTGATCAGGTCACAGATAAACAAAACATCTGAAAAGACAGTTTTTGTTTCTGAAGTCATGGTTTATGACTATTTTATATACTCACATTTATTTCTATATTATACATTCTCTACCCCGCCTCTCACCCAGTGTCAGCTGGATGGAGGTTCTCTTTAAAATCTAAACCAAAAAAAACAAAAAACACCTCCAGTCTGTTTATTCTGGAACCAGAGATGTGCTTCCTGCCAAGTTACAGACCAACACTACTTTTATCTCAACATATCAGCTGTTGTACTCCCATTGTTTACTGGTTCCAGCTGGTCCACATTCACCTGATAGCTGAGACCACAACCTAGAATATTTCTAATCTTCTATAAGGATGGAGCCTCAGTGTCCTGTTGCAGAGGTAATGCCTCTGTAACAAACTTAAAGCACCTCATGATAAAATTCCACCTTTTCATAAAAAACTGTCTGGGGTGTCATACTATTTCAGATATTCCAGTGAACTGCCATCAGTTTCACCAGGGAGACATTTCCCCTCTAAACATCTCAGAAAGTCCAAAAAATGAATTTATATAGAACTTTTTCTTTACCTCCCTCACTGACCATCTCACTATCTTTCAGATTTACCTTGTGAACCCTTCAGAGGGGCCCAACCCTTAGGTTGGGAACCACTCTATTTAACTACTTGACTATATAAAGCTGTCAAAATTAGCTTCACCCTGAGCAGCTACAATAATAAAATGCTACTCACATGTTATTGCATAATAACGATAATACATCATTTACAGCCATCATATTTCTCCAGGATGAATATTTTAATGTTGACACTTTAAGTATATTTAGTTCATAATATTTTGTGTTCCTGCAGACTTTTCCTTGGAATGAAGTATTCTTACATTGTTGTACTGACACTTTAACTTAAGTAAAAGATCTTGAGTACTGCCACTGGAATACAGGCAATGGTCTACTTGGAAAAAATTTAATGCATTTGATAAAAAGCATCTCTCTTTGGCAATACTGCCTATTTTGTTATATTACACAGTCTAATGTTGGTTTACTTATGTACATTGAGAGCCGATGTACCAGAGTCACATTCCTCATGTGTCAGACACACCTGGCCAATAAAGCTGATTCTGATTCAGTGTGTTGCAGGATGACAGTGTTGCCACCCACAGGGCACAAATGGTAACTGAATGTCTCAATGATCATACAATAACGTCCCCGGACATGTGCTGAAAGACTGCGCGGACCAGCCGGCTGGTGTCTTCAACCAGTCTCTGACCCAATCCACTGTCCCACCCTGCCTGAAGTCCTCCATCCTAGTTCCCCTAACTAAGAAACCAAACATTACCAGCCTCACTGACTACCGGCCAGTTGCACTCACTCCAGTGGTGGCTGAAGTGTTTTGAGAAACTGGTACGGGGACACATTGTCATTCCTCCCCAAACATCTGACCCACACCAGTTTGCATACAGGGCAAATAGATCCACAGCCCTCCACACTGTGCTGTCCCACCTGGAGCATCAGGAGAGCTATGCACAGCTGCTCTTTGTGGATTATAGTTCTGCCTTCAACATCATCCTCCCCCACAAACTGGTGGACCTGGAAATTCCATATTCCACCTGCATATGGATTAAGAGCTTCTTGTCCAGACGCAGCCAGAGGGTGAGAGTGGGCCCACACACATCCACGGCTCTCAGCCTCAGCACTGGTTCCCCACAAGGCTGTGTGGGGAGCCCCCTGCCCACCTTGACAACACCATTGTAGAATTTGCCGATGACATCATGGTGGTGGGGCTCATCTCTTGGGGGGTGAGGTGGAGAGGCTGATAGTGTGGTGCAGAGAGAACAATCTGCTCCTTAATACCTCAAAGACTAAGGAGGTCATTGCTGACTTCAGGAGGAAGAAAACTGACATCTTGTCACTGTACATCAGCGGTGACTGTGTGGAGAGGGTGCTGGCCTTCCGCTTTCTGGGAGTCCACATTGAGGAGGATCTGACCTGGGGTGTGAATACCTCTAAACTGCTCAAAAAGGCTCAGAGACTGTACTTCCTATGGGTGCTCAGGAGGAACAACATCTCCCAGAGACTGCTGGTGTCCTATCATGGCTCCATTTAGAGCATCCTTACATACTGTATATGTGTATGGTACAGCAGCAGCACAGTGGCTCAGAGGAAAATGCTCCAGAGGGTCATTAACAGGGCCCAGGAGATCGTCGGCTGCCCTCTCCTCAGTCTGGAAGAACGACACAGGTCCTGCTGCCTCAAAAAAAGCCCAGAATATCATTAAGGACACTTCACACCTTGAACTGCTGCCGTCAGGTAAATGGTTCAGAGTAATCAAATCAAGGGCCACCAAATTCAGGAATAGTTTTTACCCTACAGCAGTTACCACACTCAATGCTGCTAAAATATAATATGCCTGTCAGAAACGGCGCGTAATGCTGCCGAAAAGTGTTAGGTGAACTCAATTAAATGGCCAGACGAGGAAGTGTAAAACAAACCCATCTCTTTATTATGTGAACTAACTTTGAACAAAAGAAAACAGGGGAATCCAAAACGCGTTGTCCAAAGATAAATCCGTTAAGCCGATACACAGAAGCAGTCCGAAATAAGAGGGCAAGGCAGAACAGAATAATCCAAGGAAGCCGGGTCAGAACCACAAGATACCAAAACCGAAGGAAAGCTTGAAAGTCAGAGCTGGGGTCTAGAACAATCTGACAGTGTCCTTGTGGGAGGACGCTGCCTAAATAGAGGTGAAAACAGGTGCACATAATAACGAAGCAGGTGAAACTAATGTGAGTGATGAAGAACGTAAAAAGACCGAAACTAAGGTGAAACAAAAACAGGAAGTAACATCAAAATAAAAGCCGGACAGGAAGCAGCGGAACAGGAATCATTACAATGCCTGTGTGTGTGAGAGGTCGGTTGTTTATTTCGTTTTTCTAGCGGTTAAAATTTTTTATATGGTTTTATTTCATATGCTATGTTTTTTTTCTATTACTGTACTGACTGGAGGTCACTCTAAAATTTACAATGGCAATAAATGATTATCTTAGGTTCCCTGATAGACTAGTGGTTAGGGCGCAGCTCTCGCCGCTGTGGCCCGGGTTCGAGTCAGAGTAGCATCAGGAAGGGCATCTAGTGTAAAATATGTGATACATGTCACAATGTGGCAACCCCTAATAGGAAAAAGCAGAGAGTGACATTCATTCATCTCTTATCCTACAAGTACTGTTTTTTCAAGATGTGGCTAAAATCCATGCTGACCAGTAGGTGGCACTGAAATACTACTGTAGTCAGCGTCTTTACACACTGAGCTGTGTAAGAGAAGATGCCGATAGATGATAAACTTTATGTTCATGCAACATTTCACCACAGAGGGTCAGTGTAACACGGACACTACAGCTTCATAAAGAATGTTACTATTACCAAATACTGAATCATTGATCTTTGTATAGACACAATGCTGTATCCATATATCCAATTAATATGGTGAAATAACTAAGTGCAGTTGATTTTTCTAAGGTTATTTCATTTTACTATGACCTGGATGACTGAGAATCTGCACAGACAATTAATATGGTGTTACTGTTATAACTACCACTGCTCAGCTCCGTTCAGCACTTTCCATTTTTAATCACAAGATAGAACAAACCACAATGAGACCTTTGTGAGGTTTCAATTATTTACTGGATTGTTAATGTGTGTGCAAGGATAAGAATTACAAAAATCTAAACACTAGACATGATCATATACCCTTGTTCCTATTATACAATGTTATTTATACAAGTATCCAAGTATGTATATATTCATTCCAATGTACCTATTACACTTTAAAGATAATTGATCATCCTCATAAGACAGACAACAAACATCACCAACAGTAAACAGGTTTATCTAAACACCCACACAGCCTCAACTGACCATGTGCAATCTAGACACTATGTAAGCTTCAATGATACTAATGTGCTCTATCATGTTTCTAGTACAACTTCATGAAAAAGAAAACGCAGAACCTACAAATGCAGCACAGTTCCCTGTAGCTTTTATAAGTGCAATAATCACTTGAACTGTAGGAGAAAGTTTCACTTGTTTGTTGAGGTAACATAGCTAATCTTTATATATGTATATATATATATATATAGAGAGAGAGAGAGAGAGAGAGGAATTACTATATTATGAGAACATGTTGCTGTTTTCCCATCTTTATTATTTCCATGTATTGGATATAGAGGTGGCATGTCAATAATGTCCATGATGACCACTCTAGTCTTATAGACTCAGCCTCCTGCTGATCTACTCTGAGATAAAAAATTAAAGAAATGAAGGAAATAGTTTTGGCTGAGTTAAGTTTCAATTTTCTTGTCTCTTGCATTCAGTCTTAAGAAGTAGCTTTTGAAATTGTGTAACAGTACTGACAATGTCACAGTATGGTTTGTACGAGTCCTAGTCCACTGCCACAGGAAGCCACTACTGCTAGAGCGGCTGCAAACCGGCCAGACTGAAGCAGCGCTGCTAACTGGGATGACAAAGCTTGCTGGGAGCCAACAAGTCATAATTGCGTTGCAGCTGCCAACCAAAGCCAATCAAATAACCATGCTCCAGCGAGTTTCACTGGACAGATGTTTTTTAATCATTCTGCCCGTTGTACTTCTTACTCTCTAGCTTCTTGTAAAAAGAATCAAGCATTTCAAGATGAGATTATATCATTATATAATTATGGGAATGGATGATAATTATATAAAATGATATCTGATTCATTTAAAGCCACTATGTATAAAATTTTGAGATAATTATAGCATCTTTTAGGCTGATGGCACATACAGTATTTTTCTTTATAGAAAAATGAGTCAGTCCCATTGAAAATTGGTGCTGTCTACTGTATGTTTTGCTTCCAGCCCCTCAATCTCCCTTCAATCTCTAATACTCAAGTGGGTGTTTGTTTTTAAATGCTACAGACAGTGGATTTAATACTGTTGTGATTTCCTTGTGGTCAGAACCTGGAAGCCATTAGAAGAACAGGAGCTTTATTCCACTCTGGTTTAACCATCCAGCCATGGTGTGTGTCTGCCTATATTTTGATACTGGGACAGGTTCTCTGAGAAAACGTCTCTGTCAAAATAAATGGTGCCCAATGAATTACAGTGATAATAGACTATAAGGACCACCAGCACAGTCTGGATGTCTACATTAAGTGGTGAAATATTCCCTTAAGTGTTCCCTCATAATGGAACAGGAAACCAGACACACAGTCCAAGCTCACAGCATTTTTGTAATGTAATGACATTTTGATGAGATGTTTTATTGTCAGGATTCAGTATTTTCCAGTGTATCCCTTTCTTTTATCCAGCATGGCTATTCAGCATTTTTTAAAATAATTCTTATAGATTTAAATCCTATTTCCATATCATTGTAATACCAACATATTACATGAAACTGTACATCAACTTGTGATATATATTCAGCAAACAAATCAGGTGTCAGTGTTTGCTCTGCTGTCAGAAAGAGGTGTAGGGGCGTGGTGGTAATCAGTCACTCAGTATACACAGAGTTCAACCATTTGACTTGTGACTGACTGGACCTACATGTTACCTTGTTTGTCTGAGGAGGAGGAGGTGGTGGATGGTGATGGGGAGGGAGCTTTGGGGAAGATTCTGTCAGTTGGGGTGATGCCTGGGCTGCCCAGACCAGAGGAACTAGAACTGCTGGAACGATGTGGTCCTTGGCCCTGTCCAATCACAGGAGCAGGCCTAACAGGCCTGACAGGCGGGGGCCTTAGAGGTGCACTCGGCCTGCGCGCTGAGAGAGCAGGTTTAAAAGTGGTCAAGGTCTCGGAGGAGGAGCTGCTGCTGCTACGTCGCTGGGCTGCATCTGGATCCCGAATCACCATGGTGTGGAGTGGGCTTCCAGGTGGATCCTGAGCTCCACCGGGGTGTTTGAGGGGCTCCAGTGTGTCCAAAACAACATCAGGGGCGTGTTTGGCTACATTCTGCCGCTCAAGCTCCCGCAACTCATGGAGCGCCGTATTCATTGTTTTCTCTATGTCCTAAGAAACATGAGCAGAAGGAAACATAAGACTTTAGAAACTGATATCAAACAATCAGGCAAGAAGTAACTAAAATTACAGATGCGCATCACAGGCGAGTTCCATCTCCCTTCTCAAAATCCTATTGTTTATGTACATACAGTATAAGGTCTCCATCAACAAAAGCAAAATATTATTTTAAGTAATGTTAGTGTATTAATAATATTTACTACACCTAGACTTCAATTAGTTTAGAAAGTACAACCTCTCTCATAATATTGTCGTGTTGTTTTCTAAATTGATATCAAAAATGTAAAAAGCAGGGAGTGACATTCTTTTTTATTATTACTGGAGAACCCCTGATCTCATGTGTTGCCCCACTTCTGAAACCAAATCCACACACTTGACTAAACCTGAGGTGGCAAAGTCAGCTTAGCTTCCATTATGTTGCCAACACTCACCTCAGCCAGTGCCTCAGCCTCCAGAGCTTTGTGGTCTCCCAAACTTGCATGGCGAGTGGCGCTGGGTGAAGATCGTGGAGCGTGGCTGTCGATGAAGGCCTTTCTGTCAGGATGGTTAATGCAACCAGCACTGCCGAACGTGGTGAGGCGCCGTTTCTCTGGACTATCTGTTGGGCCCCTGCTGACAGCTATTTTGTGTGGGCTGCATGGCCGAGGCATAACCCTAGGGGGCTTGTCAGTGGTTCTGGTGGGGCTGTGACTGTCAGCGCTGTTCCTGTGGCGTGGAACTGCAGCTCCATCTGATCGCACTCTGACCCTATAAAAGTGATAAAAGAAGATTCATACTTTGCCCTTGGTTTGAAGTTCTTGACTCTCAATAGGTGCACTGTGTCCACCCACTAGTTTAACTAACCCTACCTTCCCAATGCTGCCCCAAAGTGGTGCTCAGGTGTGTGTTCACAAGGAGACTGGCGTTCATTTCTGGATGGGGCTCTATCATCGTGGTGCAGTCCACTGCTGGCCTCACTATCAACCCTCTGAAGGCTATCTGAGAATGCATCATCCCTGATATAGACAGACAGCAGAGATTGATCTTGATGAAGGGCTTCTGTCTTCAGAATATGTTGAAATGGGCTTAAGAGGCTAAACTTTGCAAAGATTCAACCTGTAAAATGTAAGTTGCATTGCTTATACATACAAAATTAATCACTTATCAGTGTCTCAAATCCACTTTGGTAATTTATACCTTAATCTTCTTCTTAATTTGGTTTTAATTTTTTTACCTTTTCTGTGATGCTGGAGAGGTTATTAAGCATTATTTTTATGATTAGGGACCATTTGCTTTGTTTTTGTTGCAACAAATTGTGCAAAAAAACCACGAAAAACAGGAGCATTTTATTCAGACTGATGGCTAAGAGAGCACAGGTTCTACAAGGCCAAGCACAAACAGTTCCGTGGAGACAGTATGAATAGAAACATGCACTTTGGGAAAAGAGAGCAACATAAATAATGACCAAGCACAAAATAGCTCTGTTTTATCTTGTAGTAGAACCAAGGCACTGACATTGGGACATGATCACTCCTCTGGTGCAGCTTTCTATAGAAATGCCATCTGTATGAAATAACAAAAAATGTTTGTGGTTGTTTTTTTGTGGACATCTACTTACATGTCTTGCACCACAATGTACTGATGTGGGATCAGCCCATCCACACCGTTATGTCTGCCCTCCCACCAGTCCTCAGAGGCTCGCAGGTAGAGTAACAGAGAGGCTCCCTTCTTAAAGGAAAGTTCTCTTGGACTTCGGCCAACATAGTCAAACTTTGCTATGGCCTCAATCTGCTCCAGCTCTATAAAACAAAGAATGTGACAGAATCCAGTTTAAGAAATTGTTGTTGTAGATCTTCACAATGGACTAACTGTGTTTGTTGATTCACCTTCGTCACTAGTGTTAGGTCCGGTACCATTGTCTACCTCATCGAGAGCTCCTGGCTCACTGTGGGGGCTTTCACTGTATGGAGAAATATGGAGTCAAACAGTCAGAAACAAACAAACCAAATTATCAGTTAGACAAGATACATTCCATTTTCACCTTCAAGCTACACATTGTTAACCCCTAAACCAAGAAGTCTGTCTGACCAAGACTGTCACAGCCCTTACAGTGACTGCTAAACAGAGACTCATAACCAATAAGATGGGTTTTGCACTAAATAGTCTATAACTTTGTGAGATTCCATCATAAGAGTATCTTTTAAGACAAAGTTGAGAAAAGCATAAACAAGATGTCGATTTAAATAACTAACACTTACTGTTACAATGACATTTTTAATAAGGTGTCCTGTCTAACAACTTTAAACACAAAAATAAAGCAGAAAAATACTTTTCCAATGAAAAGAGGCTCATATTGGACTTTGCAAACAGTCAATAACTACACAGAGGGATCACATGAATGTATCTTTCTAAGGACCAATTGCACACTTGATGAGCTTAGCACTACAAATGACAGTGTTAAAAATAACTACATACTGGCACATGTTGGACACCTTGTCCTGAACCTACCAGTACTCTTCTCCTCCAGCCATGCACTTCTCATACACAGGTCCCTCCAACTCATGCTGGGTTGGGAACATGACTTCATGGTGGATGATAATGGTCTTAATGACCTCATTAACATGTGCTTGGCAGGCCACTGGATCCTGGTCATCTGGTATGGGCATCAGTGTGGGGCCAAAGCAAATAGCCAGGTTATAGGGGTCCATCATGTTCTCATCACTGTACTGCGAAAGACTTGAGAAGACAGCGCTGAGTAAGCATTACTATACCAGCACCACACCTTGAATTTTATTGTGACAGGACTTACTGATTCAAAAACGCAAATAAGTATCTCATGACAATGATCACAGGCCGTGGAAGAGTTATAATTATCTGCTGAAGGAGATGAGCTCTTTCTGCACCTGAGTCAAGCTCTTAAAAAACAAAGAAAACAAAAGAGTGAAACACTTGCATAAATAATAAAAGTCTTATATTTCTGGAAGTTTTCCTGGAGCGTCACTCACTGGTCGTGGATATGAGGTCGAGGAAATGCTCTTTAGGGAACAGCGGGTTTTCCAGCCCCCTGAAGTAGAGCTTAAGAACGCCTGCTACAGAGTTGATGTCGTGATCACTCTGATCATCCACCAAAGGATCCTCACCTATAGATATAACATAATGTCCTCATTAATCATTCACTACTAGCCATAAAACATGGCAGTGATACATTTTTTTTCACGTATTTCAAGGTGGACGGACAACACAAACATTAAGAGTGCAGGAGTGTTTCCTAAGTTATTATAACTCCACAATGCTGATCTTATGTATTATGCATCTAAAATGGCTTGGATGTCCATTACAGGGTTACATGTGACACATGGGCTCTTTATTTGCACTTTAGAGGCCTGCGGGAGAGACGGCGGCTTTCGAGGTGGACAAAACGCAATTTAAAATCAATCAAGAGAAAATGGCCTTGCACACTGGGACTAACCTCTTTCAAATGCATTTTTAATATCATTGACTTCGACCTGGGAGCCTGGAACTCGAAATATACCTTGCTGCTGAAGACCTGTGGATAGACACAGCTGTTAGTGTAAAATGAGAATAAAAAGGTATTGCTACAAACGAGCACATCGCACACAAAATACATATTTTGAAGAACAACCAGGGGATCATAATGAATTGAGAGATGACCAAAGATTTCTCTGTTTGTCCACACTGATTGACACCACACTGACTAACACAGGCAGAAAGCAATTAAGTACATAATCATGGATGGAAGCCTGACTTTGTGTGTGAATACTGTACTGCATGTGCTTGACAGACTGTGTGAGATAGGTATGAAATCTCCACTTAAAGACAAGAGCAGTCTGCAATGTCAAAAATGTAATAAAAGAAGGTGTTAAGGTGCCCACTGCTACAAGATTTCTGGACCAATTGGTTGGTAAGAGCTTACCTGATTAAGACATTTTTAATTAATTCCTTTTTCTGGTACATTTATAGGAAGCCATTACTGGAAAATGATGCACATATCTACACAGGGACTACACTCAAATATTCACAAACATGCTTCTGTAATTATTAAGCATTATATTTCAAGAGATCCATTAGCAAGGCAGCAATCATCTACAAAAGGACAACAGCTGTGTTTTTTTTTTTTTTTTGGTGTCATTCACAAACAGTACCAAGTGACCCGCACACATGAAGGATATTTTACTGTAAAGTTAAATGCTTAAATCATCATATAATCAGCATATGACACAAAATTAACTTGATCGTCAATCTCACTTAAATCTCTCTCTTTTTTTTTTTTTTTTTTTAAAAAGCCTTTTCTTTTTAGGGAGACATCAACCTCTGTGTTTCTATAGCTAATGTTAATGTACCAAATTTAGTAGTTTTAATTTTGTTTTTTTCATGACACAGTATGTTTGTAATGTAAGACTGTACCAAATATCAACATTCTTCATTTCTTCTCATACGTAGGGGGCATCTTGCACTAAGTATCACGATTATTACAAAGCAACTTGTTCTGAAAATGAAGTGAATAATTCTAAATAAAGATTTCACCCGTCTCATCCACTACTCCGTTCAAAAAAATCCATTCAAAAAACACATTTGTGTTTGGCATTTGAAGGCCCCATTTCATGACTAATGACAAAACAGGACACAACTTACTTTATTAACTACCAAGAAGAATAAAACAGCTCAGTAATAGACTACAATTTCTGTGATTACACAACCTCCAGATAACAGAACCATATGTAATTTGAAATAGGACACATTGAAAAAACTATTTGAAAGATTTTGATTTTCAAACTGTCAAAAAAATGTAAATATGTCTTCACATAAGACTGTTTCAGTTGAGGACAGCCCTTAAAACGATATACTGGACAGTGTGATTTCTTAAATGCGCTTCCACAAGTACCAATAAGCTGTCCCAGAGAAAACTGCTCCAGTCTATAATTTTCAAAACAGAAACAGTAACTTAAACAGAAAAAGAGACAAGGTACGCAAAATTGGATTAAACTGTAATTGTGTAGAGTAAATTTGTGTAAAGACAATATACTGTATGAGCACAACAGGAACCTACCATACAAATTGATGTATCGAACGCAGCTCTCAACCACCACCGGTATAGCCTGGCCCGAGTCCTACAGGACCAGAAAGAATGATCATCCTAAGCACATTAACAGAAAATAATAGCAAAAAAAAGTCATGCCAGCAGAGTCAGCCCCTTAACAATTAACTTCACAGAGTGGGGAAAACATTGTTAGTCACTTAATGATTATTGAATAACTGATATTTAGTGTATAAAACAAAAATAGGCAGAACAAATTGTGTTAGTGTTGTTGTACCACCATGCATACAGTATATTGTTATAGCTACAATACAGTCAAACATCAGGAATCCCAACAGGAGAGATGCACAGAAATGTTGGTTAGCATGTACAACACAGTATGATCCCACCCTGCTATAAGACAGAGTACCTGACTCCTGGCACGGACATTCCGTCTTCCCCTGGGCAGAGAGCAGTAAGGCACGTAGACAGAGGAAGAGAAGCAACAACAACCACAACAGATTAGTGAGAGAGACAGACTCACAGAGAGAGAAAAAGAGAAGGCCTGGGCTGAGGGAACAGCCAAAGCATCAGTGCCTTGTGGGGTGTGAGACATGGCTCAAAGAGGAGGATGTGGAAGGAGGGAGCTACCCGAGGGGCTGCACAGGGTGTTGTTTCACCCAGAAAAGGCTGTTTGGCCAAGATTAAAGCTCTAAATTCAAGGCAACAGTCATTTTCATCACCAATTAATCTGCCCATTATTTTCTTGGTTAACTGATTAATCATTTGACCTGTAAAATGTAAAATAGTGTTATATGCCCATCACAATTTCCCAAAGCCCACAGCAGTATATTCACATTACTCTTTTTAGTTTTTTATAGGGCAAATAAAAGTAGAAAATCCTTCCACAAAAAAACAGAATCATCATTTATACTTTAAAATGTTTCAATGATTTTTGCATTATAAAAATAGCTGTATTTTTTTTTTTTTTTTACCAACTAATTTACTCATTTCTGATATGTATCTCCACTGCTGTTGGTGCACACTCTGCTTGCCCCTGTTTGATTGAGCAATAGAGTGAATGTGACCGTGTGTTTTTTGCGTAGCCTAACATGGCTGGTGCACGGCCAATCGACATACACAAAGTCAAATCAATTCAGTGTCTGGAGTCTAGAGCTCACAGGAGCAGAAATTTTAAAAGCAGGGTGCTTATAAAACGCGCTGTCTTTAAAATGTGTCATCTTATCTATATTGGAAGACTGTGAAGACAAGGCAATGAGCGAGAAGAAAGTCAGTGCATGAGTGAGCCAACATTTGGGTAAAAGGCAAGAGAACCCCCAAGGACTGCTAGCGAGACAGCTGAGCTCATGGAGAGACAAAGAGCACAGACGGGCTAATACCTGAATGAAGGCCTCCATATTGCCGTTAAACAGCTTACAGTTAAAAATGGAGCGAGGTCTAGACTTCCGCATTCTCTGAGGTTTAGGGGGAAGAGTGGGGGGCCTGGGGAAATGGTGGGGGTTGTACAGTTGGTACATGGTAAATATCAATAGATATAAAAAATACTGACATGTTTTCTTACAGTGTTTTTGTTGCCATGTTATTATCACACCTTAATGAAACAAAACAGTTTGGCAATTTAGGGAATAAGACTGATATCACTTCACATCTGTACAGTAACTGCGCCATGTCGTGGTATTACTAGTTGTTTCAGACTAGCTGCTTCTGATCTTTATGCTAAGCTAAGCTAACAGGCTGTTAGAAGTCCCTTCACAGTCAGCATACCATTATGAGAGTGAGAGATCTTCAACCCTGTCTAACACTCTGTAAAAACAAATAAGCATATTTCCTAAAATGTGAAACTATTTCATTAAACTGATCATCAGGCAGAGCTGCTGTAGCAAACTTTATCACTGTGAGTGATAATGACCACAGGGAATTATCACACATGAAATTCAATACAGATATGGCTGCACTTAATAAATTGTACCATAGATTAAAATCCACAAAAGCCAAACTGTTCTGCTAGATGAATTTTTTTGTATATTTTAGTTCTTTATTTTTTTTAACAAAACAACAAGAAGATATTATCCATCTCAGTGGCATTTCATTTCTTACTCTTAACAGATTTTTATTACAGATTACAACTAGGAAAAACCGAACACCACCTTCTCTAATTAGGATACAGTCCAATGTCCAACAAATAAGTGTGTTGAGATAAGTTGATGCTAAACTCTTTTTTCCCACACTGTTATCTTATTTCTGGCACATCCAGGTACATAGGAAGGATTGTACACTTTACCACCTACTTTATTCACCCTCTTATCATTGGATTTCTTACCTCGTTGTTCCATATTCAGCCTTCTCACCTAAAGGAAAAACAGCAGAGAAAGAGACTCATTAGTACATGCTAGTTTTACAGTCACAGAAGTTAGCAGTAAGGCTGAGTGCTGGCTGACTATACTAGGCTGGCAGATGGAGACGGAAAGGGGTGTTATGAGAAAAGGGGCATCTATTCAGTCAGGCTCAATGGGGTGAGAGCCATGACTGCATTTGACTCACTGCCAGGCAGCGGTCATTCAACGGTCGCCCTAGAAACAGCACAAGAGCCCCAGAAGGGGTTGGTCTGTCTATTCGCTCTGCAAAGTGGAAATGTATCCAGGGGCAACGAGGGTGGGAGGCCGGGGCAGCTGATTCGTTCAGTGCGATGATTCCATGATATCTGCACATTTGCACGCACATCTCACTGTACGCAAACAAATTAAGGCCTCACTTTGATCAGCCAGTGAGAAATGTTTCAGGATCAGACCACATGCAAAACAGCTTTCAGCACAATTCTGCTTTATGTCAAACAGATATAATTCAAACGCTATAGCACACACTCGCCCGAGTCTAAAGTAGAAACACATGGAAAATACATTTTTATTCAACCTTTTAGCCAAGTCAGTGCATATCAACTATGAGGAATATAAGAACACAATGTAGCAAGAAGTATGTATTCAGACAAGTACTACTAGGTCAGAGAGTTTTGTCTTTTCTACCCTGTGAATCTCTTTGACCTTTAGGTCAACAAACTGTGAAGCTGGCATGAGAATGACAATTTCAGCATAATTTTGTATTTTAAGTTCATGAGCATGGCTAGAGCTTAATGTGGATGATTTAGATTCCGCACCCTTAATTCTGTAACTAATTACTTAATTTTTCTAAGTCAAAGGTTCAGTGTGCTTTGGTAGGAGTAGCTTGAGCTTGATGTTTAAAATCAAACCTTTTTCCTAATTCACCAAATATCACTGTCAATACTGTACATCAGTATTTTGTGCATATGTGCTATGCATATGCACAAAAGAGTCTGAAAAGCAAACTAATGACCCAAAGTAGATGCCTGCAAAATTTTAAGGCAGCAACACAATGGCATGAAAAGATATAAAGTACATCCTAATGCCCCCTTTCGAATGAGGTAAATGTTCATTAAACATATATAAATTAATGATGGCATCACCGAGCCGTCAGGGAAAGTACTTCTCAACCGGAAATGTAGGACTGTTTTTTCCAAGTGACCCTTTTTAGATCCAAAAACATGTCAAGCTAATTTTGGAAATGACAAATTCAATATAACTATTTTGTACTCTATTAAAAAAACAGAGGGAACTCAATAGAGGCAATATAGAACTGATTATAAACAGTATTTCAGACCCATTTGATTGTTTTGTTGAAAACAGATTTCTCAGAAATTCTTTATAACACCATCTGGTTTTCAGGGAATCCTAAAAGGCAAGGAATCTCACCCATGTACTGATACAGTAGATTTGTTTGTTACTTTAGCCACTTAATACTAAATGTCCTGTAAAAGACAGACCCTTAACCAGTAACATCATTTTCCACTCCAGTAACGCAGAAAGCAGAAAGTCTCACCTTCTCCTAGCGTCTGCTTCAGAAGGTCATGCTTGGCCTGCAGTTTGATAATGAGATTGCTTCCATTCAAGTACTCCTTGTACTTCTGCAGATGAAACAGATAAAAAAGACAAACAGCGACAGGGTTATTTGTAGTTACTCTGTACTGCAGTGCCGCTGCACCCTCATTTGTCTGAGAACTCACGGTGAAGTAGAAGCCCTCGGTCTCTTGCTGATTGGCTCGTCTCTTGGCAATGTTTGCCTTGCTCATGTAGGAGTCAGAGGAAGCTGATTTGATGGACTCAGTGGACTGGCTGTGCTGGAAGGCCTCAGAAACATCAAAGTCCTCCACAGTGAGCATGTCCTGAAGGGTCTGCATGGTGGCATCAAGAGTCTTCTTCACCTGACACACGCAGCATATAAACACAATTGAAGCATGTCTGTATTTTAACAACATTCACTTTTTACATTATCATATATGGCTTCCATATGAAATGAATTGGGTGACTTGTAAACAACAAGACAACAAATATTGTAAATACAGAGTAATTAGCCTCTCAGCATCATGCACTGTGACATAAAAGATAAAGTGTTTCTTGCATTGTAAGGCAAACAAGAAGGAGGTGTGCATTTCCACATTTACAACAGACAGGCACTGACACATACAGTTACCCCAGTGATCTTTAAACAGGTCTGTGTAGGTCACAGTGGCCTTGGTGGCTCTAGGCCAGGAAGCATGCCGCAATGGAGGCAGGATGAGAGAAGCCACTATATGGCAGTCTCAGGTCAAAGATGAATATATTGTATGTAAATGCAGGGTGACAAACCTGAGGAACCGTTGATTGCTGTTACATTTTAGTGTGGCACAAGTGAAAATGTTGGCTGTCAATACCAGTTTAAAAGTCAGCATAGTGAAAAGGGGGTATTACAGTGGTTCAGGTGCTATAATGAGCAAGACAAATACCAGACTACTTTTATGAGCAATACACTGTAAGAGTGATCATTCCTAAATGTTCTGCAAGTACTGTAAGAGTTTCCTGATAGACAAGCAGCATTTCAAATTAAGTGTTTGTTTTATCCCATCTTTAAAAAAAAAAAGATATTTCAACATTTTGGAAAACAATCTTATACTCAGAGCTAAGTGAAAAGATTGACACCGTTCTCTCATCTGTACAGTATATTCTATATGAAGCTACCAGCAGCAGCTCATATAGCTCAGCTAACTAATACTGAAAGCAGGGAAGCTAGCCTGGTTTTGGCTGCCGATAACACAGTCTGCCTACCAGCAACCCTGGCCGTTTTCCCATCACAGTTTTTCTGCTAAGCTAACTGACTGCTGGATGTAGCTTCATAATCAATGGACAGACATTAGAGTGGTATTGAACTCATCCAACTATATGCAAATAAGCATAATTCCCTAGATGTCAAGCTGGTCCTGTAAAATTGTTATATAGGAAGCTCACATCTACATTACCAGTCAAATGTGGACACACTTTTCCACTGACTTGAATGGGAAAATGTGTCATGACTTGATTGGTAGTGTATAAAAACTCAAAGACCAAAATGCCTGTTAACACTGTCTCATCTTAGAGACTATTCTACATGTACAACAGCAGATATACATCTTTTAGTTATCTTCCTGTTCTGCTATATGCAATCACACTTGACTGATGGTATGAATGATAAGACATTCAGTTAGTGGTAAAGCGTTATGCAATAGTCTATTAAATAACCCAATTCATTAGAATGTTTGTGTGCTTTGGTAGATGCAGCTGGGAGGCAAGGTAGTTCTTTTTGTTGTCTGAAAGTATTTTTTCCATCCTAATCACAATGGCACATACAGTCCTGCATATAAAGTATACAATATAGAGAGGTTGGATGATCCCAATGTTTCTTGGATTGTTTTCCAGTAGAAGTGGGCCACAAAGGCCACCTTTCATTTTAACATAAAAGGTATCACATATTAAAATACCTTTATGAAAAATTTGCTCAATACCTATTGTTTAGGCAGTTATCTGCTAACTAAATGGATTAAAAGATGATTTCTGTCAAGATCTGGGCGGCTTACCACCTCAGATAAACAATTTTCTGGCAGAAACCCTGCTTGTACTGCATATATGTTTATCCAGAAAGAACCTAAAATTATGTAATGACCTAAAAACTAAAATTAATAACCAATATATTAATATATATACAGTTTTTAGACATCCGGACATGACTCTGAACAGCAACCTGCTTCATTTTGAAATGAAACACCGACAATAGCTACCTTCAACCCTGATGTGCCAGACTTATGGTCACAGAACTTCTCACCTCTTCATTTTCTATCTTCAGCGTGGCCAGGCGAGACTGGAGCTGGTGGTAGCGCATCAAGAGCTCTGTCTGGACAGGCTGCTGTGCACTCACCTGACACACCTGGAAGAAATGAACAGGGGACTTTAGCAGAAGAATTTAACATAGAGAAGAACAAACACAATGAGATGCATTTTGAATCAAGAACTAGGACCTACAAACAAACTGTTCTTATAGTACCACTGCTCTCCAGAGACTCACCTCATCGCCCATATGTGGCTGATAGTCAAAGCGTGCAGGAGGACAAAATATCTGGCTGTGTGTGTCCATAAATTTCAGCTTGTCTCCTCTGATGTCCATGGCATCTACGGCTGCCTCCAGTAAGTCCAATCCCTCATGGCGAGAAGTCTCCAGACTGTACTCTGCAGACAGGTAGGTTCTCATGGTGCGCGCTAGGCTCGCATGGTACCCTAAGTCACAACCCTGATGACAAGAGGTAAAATATATAGTCATTATAGACCAATAAAAAACTATGCCACTGAAACTGAAAAAAAAAGCATTAGGACAAAGTATCGACATTTGCTCATTTAGCACAGAGTGTTAACTTACATCTATCATATCTGAGACGTCATGGATGTAGTATTTGGCCACCAGGGCATTGGTGGCTGCCAGATTGAGAAGATAATCGTTACGGGCCTTTGTGCATTTCAGTTTGTTTTCAGAGTACTTGGCTTGTCTCTAGGGAGAAAGAGGAAGGGAGAGTCCCATCAAAGTGTGATGCAGAATGGATTCCTAATGCACTCCAAGAATGCATTACTACATTAAACTGATTTTATGTTATATAATCAGTAAATATATGTAATAACTTGCACATTGTAGAATTGGGTTTCTTGTATTTGAAGGGATGAATTTCAAGACCATTATAAATGCATTTACAAATTATTTGTACATCAGTGTAAATGCCTATAATGTATATAACATGATCATTTACTCCAGAACAGACCTTCTCCTTCATTTTCTCCATCTTTTTGACAGAGCTTCGTCGCTGTGGACGTTCATCGTGACCGTAGCGCAGCAGGCTGGCACTTATGTCATTTGTCTTGCCACTGTGCTTCTCCTCCTGTTTCTCTGCCTCCTTCAGCTTGCTCTCAGCACTGAGACTCTCATTGTGGTACATGTGGTACGTCTTCATCACCTGTGAGAATATACAGCCACTCAATATCAAGGACATCATAGTCAAGCTAGCAAAGAGTAGCGATAACAAAAAGCTCCATTGATTAACCAGTTAGGTGGATTTATGGGACACTCTAAACATACAGTACCGTCCCATATGTACAGTATATCACAATGTGGACCATAATGTACACAAGGATTATGTGGCTGATGTCAATATCATTGTTTAATTAATTTGCCTAATCGGTCATAATATGGCTTGCAAGTGCAACATCACAAGCTAAAATGTTATGCATTATCCACCACATTTAACAATAATGTCATTTTAAATGTGACATTAAAAAAAAACCTGTATTGGTAATATCATGTAAAAAAAAAATCCTCTTTTTATTATAGTTCCATTCAATTCACACACACAGCAAATACTAAATTTGATGCTATAAAGACTAAAAATGAATGTAAAAAGACATAAAGCCTAATGACAGTGGCCAGTCTGTCAGTCTGACTCTATCGCTGCTTTGAAGACAGTTGTCACAAAGTGAACCAGCAAACACAAACACATGAATGTCACTTTCAGCTTCGACAATTCATATGTTGACACTAGGCATGTGTTTTCCACTGCTAGCCTAGCAGTTAAGGCAGCGCTTTCGCCGCTGCGGCCCGGGTTCAAATCAGGGTTGGGTCAGGAAAGGTAACCAGCAAAATTAAACATCCTCCATCACTCAGGTTCTGGTTTCCTAGCAACCCTGACTGAAACGGACGTGCAAAGGACAGTGAGATCGATCATCAGGGGAGAAAGGAGGTTACAAAGTGACAAGAAGCAACCTTCTCTGCTACCCTAGAAACAAGAAACTACTTGATTTCCAGCAGCGGATCAATAGCACAGGGTGACAGATAGATCGAGACCTAATCTTACAATTAACACATACCTGATAACATAAACAAATTTTACAAGCTTCAATTAAGCTATACATCCTTCTCTATCCCAAATCTGAACAGCCTACTGCTACTCCTTATGCTGTGTGTGTAGGAGCTGTAGACAGGCATTTAATAATGCATGAATTAGAGAGAGAGAAAAATCAATATCACTATAAGCAGGAAAGAGCAGTATAATGTTGCATAGGAGAATATGTCTTGTGTGGTTTATTTCAGTTTCAAATCTATTTGTGCTTTGCTGTACATTCATTTGTCTGAAATATTTTTTTTTTAAATGAGGGGGTCATCAATAATTGCTGACACTGCACTTGCCATTTTGCTAATGTTACCTTTTGGTAATATTTTCACTTTTATAAGCTACAAACACAGAAACAACAAACACAGACCGTATGCATCTGTTTTTTTGTCACTCCCTTCTCTGTTTGTTTGAAGGGAATCAAATCAGAACTTAAAATATTTCACTTCAAACGATTATGTGACTTAAACTTCAGTGCAATTATAGTTTGGGGTAACATTCAGTCACTGTGATAAATGTGTTTTCACCAAAAGTCCTAACCTTGCCCAGAGTTGCGTTTTAATTATTTTGATTGATCACCTCCAGAATTTACCCCAAAAACATTCAAAACACAATGCAAATAATTTAAAGTGCAGCAAGAAGCCAAAGGTGGAGCGTCACACATTAGTAAAACATGGAGTCAAATAACTGAACAAGGAGAAACGGGTGATCACTCAGGATCTAAAGTCTAAGTTAGAGACACTGTTCTTTTTATGTAGAAGGGAATTCAGTTCTACACTTCAGTTTCACAGACCAGATTATTCAAAATTACTGTATCCTCAGTGTTAATATAACTAATTAATATAACACTTAATATAACTACTGTAAACCCACCCGAGTGTGTAGGTGTGTCTCAACTTCTTTGTGATGGAAGAACTGCACTGTACAGTCTAAACATTTCTATAAGCTATAAAACTTCACATGACTTCGTATGATCTATTAAACTGCAGCTACCTCCATTCAGTGCCTGGTTTTGTGAATATAATGTTGGATATCTACAGTAGGTTCTATCTCAACCTGCAGTTCTACAAAGAAGCTAGTCAGCAACTAAAATTAGCCATGTTTTAAAGGTACATTTCAGAAAGATTTCACCATGAGCCATAAGGCCCTAAAGGAAGCACTGTGGTGTGTTTGCAGCACGGTGTCCCACATACAGCAGCAGATCATATCACTGCACTGGATCTGCTTCGTCAGTCAAAAAAAGAGGCATCAGCACTGAACACTGCTTTCTGCCTTCACCACCACGCAGACCATTTCTGTGTGTTTAATGTTATGCATACATGTGGTATTCTGTAAATGAATACACGTAACATTATGTAAAATAAATAAATTACAGCACCACATGTTTGCCGTGATCACAGTGCACCTCTGCGGCGCAGCCTGCTTAGTTCGCTTGAAGCTCAGCCAAGAGCAAGAACGCTTTCCCCTTCAAATGATGCAGAAATTCACAACAGGAGGAAAGATGCAGATTTCCTGACCTCAGGGGAAGGAAAAAATGACCTGTTAGAGGCTGCACTGCTGATTAGGCATATCTGCTATGTGCAGTGTCAGGCCAGCTGCTTCACAGGTTCCAGATTAAGGTCTGGAAAAAAAAAAGCTTGGCCTTTGGATTGATGAGCCACAGTCAACTAACAAAGGGGAAAAGGCAAAACAAACAGCCTGGCGCAGACAGAGAAAAGTTGACAATGACATCTGTGTAACTCACTGTGTAGAGCTCATTGGTGACTTTCACCAACTCCTCGTGCATCTGCACCCCGATGTCTTTGCTCTGTAAGAGATGACAAAAAAAAACAATGTCACATTTAGAAGATAAATGAAGGCAGGTATTCAAACATCTAAGATTAGGAATTGGGTTATTTATTAGAAATTCCATCTCACAAATGAAAAACTGCAAGTCTGTGTGCCAGTGATATTTTGTATGTGAGAGATGCCAGCAGGCACTGAAATGCTGTGATTACTCTCCACCAGAAATGATCTAATACAATGCCCAAAGTGCAGAAGCAGACAAAAATAGAACAGTGCAGTATGTGCTGAACATTTCTCAAGGAACAGAGTCACAGTTTCAGCTCAGTCACAAGGGCTAAGAGCCCATGATGAATTGGACATATCCCATGGCAGGGTTTATAGCCCATGAGGAGGAATGGGGCCAGTGGAGAGTGACTGGAAACCCTGTTGACGGGATATGGAGCAACACTCAGGCCAATCAATCTGTTTTCTGCCACGTCTCAGGGACTAACCTTGCTTTTTCACATGTGACAAGAATTAAACTTCAGCACAGTCAGTACATTTACATGTTCACTTAGCAAATGATAGAGTTGATTCACTTCCCTTTCCAGATGTGTAATTTGTTAACAATGAAACTGCACTGCAGCTGAGCCAGGATGTTACAGCATAACAAGATTATTGTTTTGGAGAACTTGGTCACAATTTGAGCTAACTTCTGACAGAGGGAGATAGCTTTTGTGCAGGTGGCTTTTTTTTTTTATCTCCTCTTTGTGCTGGCCACAAACCATCCCATTCTCATCAAGAATCCCATCGGGACAGTGCGGAGGCCCTAGAGAGAATAAATTGTTGTAAGCTCTTGTTGCCGTCAAATGATACCGATCTAAGACGTTCAACCAAAACACATATTATTGTTAACATTCTGAATAAAAGGAACAAGTTACATCTAATTCAGGTTCATGCATGAACCTGAATTAGATTAGCAACCCTGTTAAACTTTATTTTACTCTCACAATGGCCAGGGTCGACTGTAAGGCTAGAGAGGCACAATTCCAACTGCTTAGGAACTTTGCATGCAGAAAATGTGTGAGATAAGTAGAGCACTTATTAAATATCATTGTTCCCAGTAAGAGACAATGACATCTAATCATATTCTATGAGTCAGATACTTATGAGAACCACACAACGGGAAATATTGTATGTTCTCAAACACTTAAACATAATTGTACATATTTCTGTAGGTGTGGCATTAAGTTCCCAGCTGAGGGCATCCGTTGTGCGGTTTAAGCATACAATTTCTGTGACTGTGTGTGTTAGCAAGACTCAGCATCACATGCCCTCATCCATTTAATTCAGATTCTGACCTTTTTAAAAAGTCTGATGACATCGTCGCCCACGTGCGCCAGACGGACAATGACGTTGTTGTTGTAGATGTCGCTGAGAGTGGCGTGGTCTCTGCTCTCCCGCCTGGTCTGATCCAAGACCAAATACCAGCAGTTCACAGTGGACAGGAGATTTTGGTCCTTTCTGAAACAGCCAAGGAAAAACTTTGTTAGCATCTGCTTACCGTTGCTATTTGACACTACTGTACTAGGAGCACTTTAATAGTTTGACAAAGATGAAAACATTGATCAGCGTGGATAACTGATTTCTTCAAAGCTGCCTCTAAGCAAATGCATCTGAGATATTTGGACCATACAGTATATTTTCCACAAGTAGGAAGCAGAGAATAGGTGGTTCTCTGACCTGAAGAGGAAAAACTTTATTACTGGCAGCAAGTAAAAAAAAAAAAAGCTCTAAATATGCCAACTGTTGCGTGCGTGATTGATTCAACTCTGATTAAGATGTTTGGTAGTCGAGCCTTGTCGGATATAATGTGTGTACCAAAACATGAAGCAAGATGAATTCAATTCATTGCACAAGCTCGGGGGCTTTGCATGTTGGAAACCAAGAGCTCACTGCACTTGTGGTGAAGAATCAGCAAAAAAAAGGAGGCAGCTGTACACACACACACACACACACACACACACACAGACGGCAGGCTGTCTGCACTTGCTTCCTTACTCAGTGGAGCATGTGAGTTCAATTATCCTGCACCAAGGAGTTTGTTTGTCTTCTTGCCATTTTCTTTTGTCTTTGAATAACATTTTACATTTTTTATAACTTCCAACCACTGAGGTTGCAATATACAAATTGCCATATTATTACTTTATATAGGCTGTGTGTAAATACACCATTTGCTTTTGGCTGATAACTGACCTGTGGAGGAATCTGATCCAAATCCAACTGTATTTGTTTTTTTAATCAGTGGTGAAAAGAGGCAAGTAAAGTTAGGATGAGTAATTTAAACACTTTGCATGTCTTTCTGACAGCAAAGAGTACATTCAAAAGACATCTACAGTAGACAGCCATCTCTTTATCATATCATTCAAACAATCAGTGACTTTAAACTTAGTAATGAATTATTATAGGTTGTAGCGCAACATGACTGTGGGTGTCAGAAAAGAGCACAGAGCGCCGCATCACAACCTCAAGCAGCAAACTAGACAAAAGCTGTGCTTGAACAAAGCCATAAGGTGATGAAGATTATGATGTGGCCAGTTGATTTTCATAAATTACCTACAAATGATCTGCCACATTCAGCTGCCTTTTCAAGTTGCTTACAGTGAACTAGTAGTTTGTACACCAGTCAAAAATAACTTCTAACTTCTACAGCACAAACATCACAGAAACAGTTCTATTACTGGATATATTGCAGTTCTACTTTACCTCAAGGTTATATTTTCAATCCTTTATTGTTCAGGTTACATGCTGCTTCCACTATAAATGATACATATCCATGGCGTTTCTTTCCACTGATTGCTGACATGCAACTTTATCAACCTATAACATACTAAACGACTAACAATATGCCTACTCGTAAAAACTGTCCAGATGCTATATCAAATACCATCTATAAAACAAACCATCTTGAAACCAAATGATGGAAGCTCGTTTTGTTAGACAGTCTATACACATATCCACAGTAGCATGTTAATTTGCAGCTTCAGACTCTAATCTCAGTTCTGAAGATCACACTGAAACAATAGCCCAAACTTTTCTGTTCTGTTTTGTTTCTGTCAATTTTTTTCAAATCTCTGATCAGTTTCATTCCTGGAGAATTCCATGCATGCTTTCATTTCCTTCTGAAGTTTTTCTGCCCTGGTGAAGCAAAGTCTAATCCTAACATAATGGTAGTTTCTGCACTACAAAAGTGAAGAAACAAAATCTCCCTCCATGCATCTAAAACAACGCTGAGAATTAATTAGAAACTGAAACATGACACATGTGCAGTTCTTTTGCTTCATCACTGATATGTAACTTTTAACTAGGGCTTGTGCTACTTTATCCAACATCCAGACTGGGGAGTGAGGTCATACACTCCAAACATGATGCATCAAGAATTTCCAAGAATTTAAAATGACAAACAAATATGGTATTCAGAGCTGAAGCAAACACAGATATGCATATAAAACGGTCTGGACCGACTGAATGTGGGTTTACTTGTGAATAATTAGTGGTTAACACTGATTAAAACACATGTACCTGCTATCACAATAGGCCCACCTTTCAAAAAGAGCATCTCCTGCTTGACATGAGATCCCAAGACCCTGACTAGCTGTTGGAACAGGTAGTATTTGTAGACTGTCAGGTAGAAAACATTATGTCATCTTCTGTGAACAGTTCCTCCATCAACTGCTTTTATGTCCTGCATACTCCAGTCTCATCCTTATTCAACAGCAGCAATACTCAGCTGAACTACAGTGAAGTGACAACGCAAGCACACACCGCATCTATTAGCTATTGTACATGTTGGATATAAACCGTCTTTTCAAAAGACACACAGAGTTGTGTTCTCTTGTAATCACATTTTTGCTGCAGCCACACTATTACAGGAAGTTCTGAAACTGTTCCGTGACAATCTTATCAAAAATGAAAATCTGAAAGGACAGTAAACAAGAAAGAAGAGCACTGAGGTTCAGCTATTAAAAAAGGAAAATTAAATGACAAAGAGAGTGCAGCGCCATATCTCAAGAAGAAAAGGCAGCGTGGGATTATTAATGATACAGACTTAGCTTGTCGATTGTAGTCCGTGAGAATGAATCTAGCCTTTGACTGACAAATATAATGATGACCATTTAATGTGACGGGGGAGAATCTGGGACGATGGGGTGAAGAAGTCATGCCATGGGAGTCTCTTACAGGGGGCTCCCTTTGAGGGAATGCTCCATTTATCAGTGTCTCAAAGGCGAGATCATGCTTTATGTCTAATTGACCAGAGAGACCTCTCCTGAATAAACCAATGTGTCTGTTACACATGACAGCCAGGTCACATGAAAGGCTGTGCAACTAATTAGACTACACTGAAGGCTCTATATATAAGAACCAGCTGCAACAATAGTCAGTACACCCTTCAGTTCATTTTTTTTAAATTCATTAGCTTTTTTTAAAAATGTACTGTATGTCAGGCTTTATTTTTAATGACACACTTGATGCTCTTGGGCACGGAAGATACTAGTCTTACACAGAACTGTGCAGAGATGTTCTGCCGTTCTTCACAGATGAATCATATTAGCTGCTCTGTCTTCTGCTTTGAACTACTTCTCATCAGATTCAAATTAGAGGACATACTTGGCCAGGTCATAGTTTTCATATTTTCCTTAAAATTCTTATGTGACGTTTCAGTTTGGGATCATTGTTGGGAAATCCCTCTGATGCCAGGCTTCTTGCATCTGGGAGTCATCTGTTCATACAGTATTTGGGTATACACACTTACATCGTCTCCCCTACACCTTTTGCACGCGTCCTGCCTCGTATCGGCATAATCACTTCCTCAACATGCTGCAGGTTATGTTTGTTTTACAACTACTGATCTCCCTTTTGAGTCAGTCAGAGTAACATAGCCTTTTTGTTTTGTTTCTGTGGCTCCTAACTGAAGCTCGGATTTGTTTTCTGTGCCCATTGAGAAAATATCAGTATTTGGGTAGCAGCCTAGTGCCAAGTTGCTTGAGAATGGAAATTAAATGACAGGCACAAAAAAAAAGACAGGGGGTGGGGGGATAAAGAGTCTGACCTAGTTGGGAGAAACACAGCAGCCTGAGGCCACAAGCCCCTTGGCCCTGCCTTCATTTCAGATCAGTTCTTCAGTTTTTACCTTTCCTCTCCTGTTTGTTACTCACCTCTCCTTCCTTTTTCTCCTTCTCTTCTTATTTCCCTGTGTCATGCCAGTGATCAGTATCAATATGTAACAGTTGTTAAATCAAACACAGCTTAGCAGACAGACAGTGGCGAGACTCACTTGAAGTGCTGGTGCTCTCTGGAGGTGCGGATCTTGGCGGAGTAGCGCTCAGCCAGTTTGTCCAGGCCTCTGGAGTACTCCAGCTGGAGCTCAGCCTTTCGACGGAAGAAATCCTGCAGGTCCTGCAACAGCTGCAGCCGGGACTCAGACTGCTGCTCCAGACAACGGAATTGCTCCACCAGCTGGTTACGGATCTCTGCATATCAAAAAGGACGACCACCTTCAGAATAAATAGAGCCTCTCTGGGGGAGGAGGGGGCTTACATGCTGGGCCTCATTTGTGCCCTGCCAAAAACAGTGCTACAGGTCAGCTTTTATTCCACAGTCCGTCAGCACTGGATTGAGCAAAGCACATAATAATACAGGACACAGAAAGCTGTGAGGATACAGCCAGGCCAGTACAAGAACTAATGAAAGACCAAAGTCATCACGATTGGATAAAACCGGGTGTCAAAGTCCATTTGTCTGTGTATGTGTTTTGTGTGTCTAGTGAGAGGGAGGGGGTGTGGGGGTGTCTAAATGCTGGGGTACCACATGTGTATGTGAGATGTATATCTGATGATTGCAGCAGACAGCATGGAAAATACAAAATAGGTCAGCTTCTCAAAATGCATTGTGTTGAGCGAGCCATCAGAGAAGTTTATCTGGAAAAAAAATTGCTGGCATTTTTTTCCAATTACAAGATTGCTGTGGTTTTCTGGCTATGAGGTTTGGAAACTGACTTTTCCTATTTATAGTATGAGAATGAAGAAAAACTATGTTTGGCTCATTGTTTTGAAACTATGGTTGATATAGTATTTACAAATAGCTTGACACATAAATAAACCCTTGATGTACAAGTCCAAAAATCTAATTCTTCTCATTGCAACAAGGTATTAACAATATTTCACTTTGTGAAAACATCTCCTGTTTGTAGCACGGTGCAGCTTAACAGTAAATGCCCAAGAAGGCTTTAGCACTGTTAGATGACTGTTCTTCAATACCACTGGGATTTTAGGTGATAAAAATATCCAGTGAAGTAATAACATCACTTTTATGGTTTTACATTAACAGTGAGAAGGGATACAGATCACATTTTATTTCACCCATATACTGTTTACTGCAAGGTTGTCACCAATGCAGTGGCTAAGTGGCTGCTGAATGTGTGGCTGCAGATGATCTATAAATCATACCAGAACCTGAGTGAGATTAAAGGATAAGGCTGGTCATCTTCTATATTAATAGTATTTTCAACACTCTCCATACAGGGACTAAAACAGACAGTGAATTGCCTCTACTAGCGTTAATGTCCATCAGTTTGTTCATCTGACCCCCCATTGGTTGTTCAAAAATAATTAAAAACACATCAGTGAGCCGCACCACTGCACTGGGTGACATAATTCTTCATTAGCAAACACCGGACCTGAACATGAGTAGCTAATGGAAGGTAAACAAAGCTGAGAGCTCGCACAAGCACAGGTGACTCTGACTCACGCTAACTTCAGGACGTTATGGCTGCATGGAGACTTTGGGGCAGCGTAGTCGGGTCTGAGGTTTTGTTAAAAAAATTAATGTGTCACCCAGTGCAGCGACGTGTTTCCCTGATGTTTTTAATCATTTGTAACATCAACGAAGACCTGTCACACAGACGAACAAACCAATCGAGGACTGACAGCTGACAGACATTAACCATGAGCCATTTTTAATCATTTTTAACTATGGCTTGCTTAAAATCATCAGCTTGGACAACAGAGTAGATAGAGTATATCATGCTATGCTAAACTACTGGTGAATTCACACCTATAGATAAGACACACACATATAAACAGGCTGAGGGGGTAAATAAAGCATCTTTCTACAACACAATAAGAGGCAGATGAGCAACACTGTGATGGCTGTACATTCCATTATGACAGACTGTTTGCACCATGCATATTGTGACAACCGCTGGCTCGGTTGAGAGGAGCTGGCCTGACCCTGTCCTATACTTGACAGTTAACTAGCCAGCAGTGTGCCGGCACCTGGCTCAACAAGGAGGAGAACACCTGGTTTGTCTTTTGTGCTTTTATTGAACGCAGTATGGAGACAATTGACAACACTGTCCAAACTGGCACCATGTGCTCTCTAAAGAAAATAATGAAAGAATAAACAACACATCTCCCCAAACTTCACCGTCGCCCGCCAACAGAACCAAAACAACACGCCCACCTGTCATCCCTCTTATACCCTCCCGCACCTGTTCCTCCCCCCATCCCACATTGGCCAGAACAGCGCGGCATTTCGCAGAAAACAGCGGTAACCAATACATGCACAGCTTTCACAACATTGTCAAACCCATTTGCACACAACAGAACACACGAACATCAGCGGCCGGTCAGGGTCGCCACAATATATATGTCTGCTGTGCACTAAAAGGAACTCTGTAGAAATCTATCAATGTTAAAGATGGCCCAGTGGAAGAAGAGCACTTCTGTTCATTTCATTTCTGTATCGTGAATAAGGATTTCAAAAATGCCTCCTCCCATAATCTGCGAGTGTGTGAGCGAAAACCTGAATGAAAGAGCAAGAATAAGAAGGACAGAGTAAATATGTAGTCATTTGCTATTTAGACATGTACCCCTAATGGTCCCCATAGCCGCGCCGTTGCCTGGTTACATGCCTCTGGACGCATTTCAATGAGAGCAATCCAGTTCCCTGTTCTGACAGTCACAGCAGTCAGTCTGTTTAGCATAATGGCCGAGGACAAGGGCAACTTTCTCAACTTCAAAATACTCAATAAACAGCCCGTGCTGATGAAAGAGGCAGCAATCAAGTTCAAAAGAGAAAGAAGTGTCACTGCGATGTACCTCTATGCAAAAACAGACCCTCGAACAACAGTTTATTGGCCTATGTGACTTTCATTTTTTTAATCATACTGGGACAGTGCAAAAGAACAAGCAGACAATATAATGAGCAAATCTAAACTGACCTAACTGCATAATTTTGTCACTGAGACGTCAGATAGACTCCTGATATTTGCATCCACTCTCCTGTGTTATTTTTAGAACCTAAACTGTTACTAGGGCCTGTGCAATACTGCACTACATTCAATGAATGATTCAAGCCTTTGCAGAGTAATGCATAATTACGATGAAGCTGGCAAGGAGATCAAGTCAAAAATATAGAAAGAAATAAGCCTCAAAAGCTAAATGCAGCCTCATCTGTTTAATGATTTCACAAGAGCACAGGTTTCCTCATATGAATACTGTGAGTCACATGCCACTCCAGGTTCTCTGCCTGGGAACAGAGTCTAGCCAAAATGAATAAAATGTTCCACACTCAAAAGCTTATGGAAATTTTACTAACAGAACTTTACACTTTGTAATATTTATTTTCTCCTTAACCATATGGTTGAGATCCTGGTATTTTCTGGCGACTTTAATAAGCATTTTGAGGATAAATTAATTGTTTCCAGAGACTTGAGGGCAACATAAAATGAAGAAAATAGCCTCTAGCTGCTATCAATCTGGGTGTGATTGGCCAGTGGAACATTGGTGCACAGTGTGACACCGATCATGTTGTAAACAAACATTTTTCATATATAAAAACCAAAATCAAGCTACCCAAATACAGAATGTCCCTCAACTGAAACACCTTTCATATACAGTAACTCAAATCATTTTGTCATCTCTGAAGGTTTATTCCTTAGGAAAGTAAGGTACCTGCCTGAGCTTCTCTGTTGAGGATATGGCCTGTACATCAGATTCAAAAAAGACACGTGCCAAATTCAAATGCAACATGTCTGCAGTGGCAACATACCTGCATCTCTGACATATTATATAATAAAACAGGAGGAAACTGTTGCCTTTCAGGGTTGCCAGTTAGGATGCTGCATTGCTGCAGCAGAGAGCACCCAGTATCACACTGCGAGGAGTCACTATCACCACAGCAGCCTGCTTAGTCTAACCTAGCACAGCTATTTCAATGGCCAGCAGTCTCTGGGGCTGTGTCTGCAGTTCACCATTCGTGGCTAGTCACATGTGGCCTAACCCAGACTGACACGTTGACATGATTTGGCAACCTTAAGGCTATGTTCTGTGAACACTTGTCTTCTGAATACAGTAAAGGCTATGGTACGCCTTTACAGTCTACTTGCCTGAGTTCATCATTCTTCCGCTCTCTCATCATTACTAACAAGGAAAGGAATCACTATTTGTGCAGTCACAGGACAGGAAAATCCAGGAAGTAGTGGGCAGAATTCCAGTCTTCTCTATAAATCTTGTGACGTTCAACTGTGAGTGTGCATCTGTCAGCACAGCAGCACACAGTGTCTCATACATGTTACCAAGATACAGGCAACAAAGATATTTTTCAGTGTTGTAATGCAACCCTGTCATTTCACGACAGTATCAGTCAAAGCATTCTTTCATTATGATGAATTCACACAGAAGGGTGTGTCTACATGCTCTCTGTGGAATGCATATCTGCAATGAATATGGTGACAGCATGGGTGGCTATAGTGAGATGCTGCTTTGTTGCAGCTGCTTTGTCATTAAGTATAAACTAATTCAATTTTGTTACAAAATATCACATGCTTTTCTGTTTCAGTTTTGTTTTGTATAAAAGCGATTTATGTATAAGAGTCCAGTCAGATCAAATGGCATTAAAGATAATGTGGCCCACACACAGAATTACAACATGGTCTTTTAGTTGAGTTTTAGTTTTGGGATCATCAGGACATTTAAAGGTATCAGGCTGCTGCAGAAGGAAATATATCAATTCAATGAAACACTTTTAATATAAAACTCTCTTCAGTGTTACTAAGGAGGAATATTTTGGTCATAATGGTTAAAAACGTAAAATAATGACTTTCCAATCATCAGTGAATCAGAGATAGTGTGTGACAGTAATCACAAATAGACCAGACCTGTACAGCTGTGAGCTCAAAACACGGACAACCGGTGTTCAAATGTGACTGCTGAAATGTGACATGTTGGAAAATACCGCATTAGTGCATTCGGTTTGTGCTTGCTGTGCAGCCAGCAACTCAGCATTACTGGAGGCCAATGTCAGTGTCAAAATAAAGCCCCCACAGCTTCAAACTGATCTAAGCTCAGTTTGCAAATGAGCTTAAGATGTCAGCTTAAAAGCTTGTCCTGAAACTGAGACGAGAGACAGAGCTGTGATGGCTCTCTCACAGCCATAAAGATGGTGTGGAGAGACCGGAAAGAGAGACAGTGAGTGTGTGTGTGTGTGTGTGTGTGTGTGTGTGTGTGTGTGTGTGTGTGTGTGAGGAGAGAGAGAGTGCAGGAGTCAAATAAACGAACACAAAAGCCAAAAAAAAGAGAGTGACATGGAGAAAAGTAAACCGCACCTCGGGTTCATGGGCCTGGCACACTTTTCAACTACTTTTTGCTGGATATGAGCTGAAAAAGCTCCAGACTGATGGCAAAGAATAACAGTGAATTCTCAAAATGTAGGAACTGGAAATAAAAAATGTTTAGCATTTTTGCTTGGAAACTGAATCCAGGAATTACTCGATTATCAGAAGAGTTGCAGATCATCTTCCTGTTAATGGACTAATTGTTTTTAATTGACTAACATTATGAGCTCTATCTGGTTTAAAATGATCATTTATTGTCAAATGAAGTCTGTGCTCTGTCTGTATAAAGGCTGAAAGATTTATGCAGAAGGAAACCACAACTGTGAGAAGGTGATGCACAGACTGTTGAGTTGACACTATCTGAAGCTGTCTCTAAAAGGCTGAGAGGGAAAGCCACCCATACACTTTGCATCCTACCCTGTCTGTTGTGTGTTCCTTGCTCTCTTCTCTCTCTGGGTGGCTAATCCTGTCACATATTTAACTGCAGACACTAAAATCCTTTCATGGTTCATAATTCATACAGACAGCATACATTATTTATGGACTTTCTGAACTGTCTGCTGTGTGACCTTCTCCCTCATCCTCCTCATATTACACTGATGGGTCATGAAAATCACTCTAGAACATAGTATTTTAAAATAAATTAGTACAATGTCAATTAAATTTGACAATTTAAAATGTACTGAAACCTTTTAATTTTAAGAAGCAGTTGTAAAGCGTACACAGCCATCTCTATCTTGTTTTATGTGAGGTGCGTGACCTCCAGTCTATTAGAGAAAAAATGTCCAAGGTGAATTGGTACATTCCCTTGTTGGCCGTGCAGCACTAGGACCGCCTGCACTTTGAAAGTAATTATGAAGCTCCAGTGACTGAACATGGCATGCCTAGCTCTGGGGTTGGTGCCCACGGTTATCCTCAGTACAGAGAAACCGGTTCAGCCAAGTTCTCTGGATTCATGTGGCAACATCATCCCGGAGTCAGAGGGACTGGCCGAGTTGACATGATGACCTGAATCCATGAGACATTTTTCAGAGATGCGCTAAAAACAAAAGACTGTCACCTCCAACTAAGCAAACTGTCCCACCCCACAGCCCTGCACACTAAAAGCCTTATAAAGCTGGTGAACAGAGCCTTGACACGCTGATTAACAAGATGATCAGGCCTGCGCGTTACTAACCTTTCACTTGGGTCTCATATTCAGCAATAATCTCTTTGTCCTTCTTGACTTTCGCCTGAGATGACATTTTGTGTGGGGAACGGGTTGTGCAATCCTCGGGGAAGAATCAGCGTCTCAGTTGCCACAATGCAGCGTAGCCCGTCCGCAGTCCTCTCCGGATAGTGGACCAGCGATCAGACGTAAACCATCGCCCGCTTGATACAACTTCAGGGATCAGATGCACTGGAAGCGTTTGCTGCTGCTCTGCGTTCAAGGCGACGTCGATCTAAAAGTGCAAAATGATCCCCGACCACTCCTCTACACCAGCACTGAGCAGTGAATCGGAAAACGATTCCCGTTTGAGGTACATTTCACAAAGCCTGGAGTAAGCAACAAGGGGAAGCAGCCACAGCAGCCACAGCAGCCTCAGCGATAATAGCGCCGGGCTGTTTCTGCGTAACACTGTCAACCAATCTGCCCTTTTTTCTCCTACCCTCTCCCCCCCCCGTCTCTCTGCAAGTTCAATGCTGCTGCAGAAAAGGCTGAATGGATGTGAAAGTCACGCTGAGTCTCCTCCTCCCCAAAACCCTCCCCTCCCTCACTTCTTCACCACTTTTCCTCTCATGGATGATTTAAGATTGTTCTGGGTGAGCTGCAGGATTGGGGTAGCTCGCTGAGGATGAGCTGGATCAGTCTGTTTCTGCCATTAGTTAAATGTTAGGCCTATTGTGTGTTAATGATGCAGACCTAGGCTGCATTTGGTGAAGCTTAAAACTATTTTGTGACATGCAATATGTTGGTGAAGAATGAAAACATATAAGTCCGTGCTTTTTTATAGTAAGACACATTTACTTATTTACATCTGAAACTCTTCATTTGCAATCTGTATGTGCTCATCTCTTTAAATTGTGCATCAATTTTCAAAATTATGAACTGAGATAGGATCTTTGTCTTATATTTACAATTAAGACCAAACAGCTCAGTGTCGCACTTCCATAAAATTGGGGGGTTCACAACAGACATGTACAATATGTTTGCCTTTGAATTTAGCATAAATGTTTGAGTTATTCTTCTTGGGGTGTGAGCAAGACCATCTTTATTTCCTAACAGGGGGTGTTATAACATGACCCCTGTTACAGTTAAACACATCTGCTGCAACATTCTGGCAAAGATGATGGAGCATTTCATCAGAGAATGTCAGAATGGCTCAGTGTGTCACTCCGCCCCACATTTTGTTCCTCTCAGTGCAAAGTCAGATAACAGCAGCCAGATAACTTTCCATGACTTCTCAGCAGCAACTGCATGTTAAATCTTTGATTGTCTTCCTAAAATGTATTTTCCTCTCAAAAGAATGTCCACTGATGTATACACCAGGGATAAATGAGCACTTTTTTAATGAGTTGTTGGCAAAAATTGCATTTTAAGCTGTGTCAAGACATCCTGGTCTGCCTTTGCACCCGATTCTCAGGACATCTGTGGGTTACTATCAGCCTGTGACAAGCGTTAGCTGGGAGAGAGCCCAGGAGAATTCTGCAAAAGAACCTTTCAGCTATCACCGTGCAGTAGTCTCTCCATCTTCTAATTTCCTGAGCAAATGTTACTGACCAATCCTGATAAAAGTTGGAGTGGAATTGAAAGTAATGTGAAAAAGCTGTGTCTAAATAGCTCATAGAACCATAAGACCATCCACTTACTGTATGGGTCTTTTCTGGATCATCACATGGTTCACAAAGAAAATAAAGGAGGCTATAGTGAAGACCTCTTGCTGTGTTAATGGAAGACAGTAATATAGTGAGGAAAGTTATTAGCTGCAAACTGGACTTGCTGGAGCCTATAGTTAAGAGGAATTGTCTTAACGAAACGGTAAGCGTTATGGATGACCCGGTACACTAGTCAAACCGTGGTACACCTTTGCAAATAAACTGGTCCAGCTCGCTGTCACTGGGAACAGTACAGGAGATCATTCCTGCCCACTGCCATTTTACACAATCATGTGTACACTTTGTATTTACTACTGTATATTGTGTATTGCATATTATGATTCATACTGTATAGTATATTGCATATGTTAGTTTTCTCTTGCTTTTGCTCTTTTATTGAGATTATTGTACTGCAATTCCTGTTGGCTACAGTGGTGTTTGTTGTTGCTACTGTAACACAAGAATTTCCTTCTTCAGATTAATTATGTGACTCTCATCTCCTCTCAAGCATAGTATGACAGAGATCCAGTACCTGTCTAAAATTGTACCCTCTGAACATGACTGGTGGCAAAAGTTTGTAGTTTCATCCTTGAAGTAAAATATTTACATTTTTAACCACCCAACACTGAGTGTTATGATCATGGGTAAGATACGAAAGTTAATGTAAGCATTATACTATTGAATTTACAAGTGGCTTTGTATATGACAGGGTTCAAATCACCAGACATTTGGCCTAAATGTGAGTCTAAATGTTTACAGACAAAACTGTAATGGGTGACGTACTCTGTGCCATTGCATGCGATGTTTGCTTATACTAGGACAGGCTGTTTGTTTCAAGTGTGTTATACTGTATGTAGTGCTCTGTGTATGTGTTGGGAAGGTAGCAGGGGCCAGGGGTATTCCAGAGATATTACAAAACATTAACGAGAATCTGCATTTAATGTGTTTTATTTTTGTTTTGTTTATTCACTTTGAAGCTTTTAAGTTTGTGTGTGTGGGGGGTTTAAGCTCGCATCCAGCTGCATGATACAAAAATATTGATGCTTCCGCGCACATTACAGTTTTTGTTTACGGTAGGAACTAAAGTTTCAGGTTGTTGTAGCTAGTCGGGTCAGTTAGCGAAGAGGACATAGAATGCTATCACTAGCCTAGCTACAACCCTTCTTGTCTGGAAGTACTCATTTAGCACTCTCGAAGTAATGTCGTAAAGTGATCGTTTTCACCGCTGACTGAGAAAGGCTGTTGCTGTGATTGTGGCTGTCATGGCCGTGGTCCGGTTGTTATGACTCTGACTGTGACACATTAGTTTATGACACGTTAAATTAATAACTACATCGATAACATATCAACAGCCTCAGCTATAGTATGAATTGTATTTGAAGTAACACATCCCACAGCCCTGCTTCACATCAGTGTCAACTACTGAACTTTTCTCCAGTTGATGAAAAGCGGGGCTACTTTAAGAGCACGAGCGCCCTCTGCTGGTAAAGTGTAAACAGCTAGCCAAAGATGAACAGTAACCGCAACGGACTCCCCCTTTTGCTGCTTTTTTATTCTATAAAACTGATATTTTATGCCATCAATCAATATCAATTGTATGTTTCCCACTGATTAGCCTATAGTTTACATGCATTAGATCGATTGTATTAGGTTTCTAGATTTACTAGAGTCATATGCATCCCATGGGCATAAATAAAGCTGACTAAGGCAGTTTATTTCAGAATTGCGAAAATAATAATAGGTTTCTGTGTGTCAGGCAGTGACATCAGCAGATACCCGTACATGTGACTATCCATAAGTCATTTGAAGGGTTGTAAAAATAGATATTTTGCAATGTTAAGAGGAAATTGTACAGACGAGTGGCAAATGGAAAATGAATAAATTACAAATTCTTTATGATGGTTTTTCCTTTATTTTGTCATCCATCTGAACTGTATATTGTCATACAAATATTTCACATCAACAAACCGTGGGAACTTGACAACATGACCCCCTCTATAAAATATGTGACATTTTATATCACTGCTTCCTAAATACCATAGACTCACTTAATGATGTCACTACTGTGAAATGTGCTGGTGGGTTTTCTGTGCACTGAATTAAATGGAAAAGGAATGTTTTGAGCAGACTGTTTTGACAGTATCATCAAAGTGTAATTTAATACAAACTAAGCTCAAAATAACACATTGTTAATAAGTATCATTTTGAATAATATTCGTGTATGTGTGTGACTTTCTGTGGATGTGGTGTTTCTGCTGTCTCTGACACTGTCTACTGTAAAGTGTTGTGTAACATGTTGTGTCACCAGCCACGCCTTTCCACTCTCCTAACAACCAGTAACAGTTGAGCGAAGCTCGAAGATATAAGTCAGCTGCCAGTGACTATGAAATAAATTAGCTGCGGGACAGCACAGCGTCACGGAAACATGTTGTGGTCAATATTCTTGCTGCTTAATGGACTGTTTATGCTGCTAATTTTCCTGTACTCCACTCGCACAAGGTAAGATATTCATTAATGCGTTGATTTTAAAGATAAAATTTTATTAGCAAGTGTTCATTTAATAAGTTGTATAAGACTGAAGACTTAGTGCAAAAGGACATTTTGCAAATGTAAAAAAATCGACAAGCTTAACTATTATTTACGTTTAAGTTGTACTTTAAGTTAAGTCCATTTGATTAATAAAGACATGAATGAATCAAATCAAATCAAATCAAATTTTATTTGTATAGCGCCAAATCACAACAAAAGTAATCTCAGGACACTTTACAAAGTAAGGTCTAGACCTTACTGTTATCAATATTATCACATAGGGAAAACCCAACAAATCCCCCTTGAGCAAGCACTTGGCGACAGTG